GAGAGCTGAAATGATGAGATAACCACCTGTCAGTGACCATGCTGGGAGGTCTAATCCCTACTGGCCAAACTAATGCAGACGGGCTTTAAATAAATGCAGACCTGAGTTTAATACATTGGTGTCATTTTATTTAGAGGGACAATCAGACTGGGTAGCGTTTCACGAAACCGTTATTACATCACATTGAAAATCGTATTTTAAAATCAATACATCTAACAATAAGATGAACTTGAAAGATGAAAATACGACGTATTTTCCATCATCATCCGCTAAAGTGCTCAATTCAGGTACTGTAGCGCAAAATTAATGACAGAATTTTGACTACGAGAAAATGATCAAATGTATTTACATTCGCAAATTCAATACTTACTGAGTACGGAACGACGACGAAATAATACAAAAGGGACGTTATTATAACATTGGATGGTGACAGCTTGTACGTCAGAGACGCGCATTTTAATTGCCAGCATACCCCGGCCATACTACCTTGTATTTTCTCTCAATCAAGTGTTTGCCGTACTATTATTGGTAATGAGATGTTCGCCGGCCAATGCTAAGCAATGCCAACATGTTGCAATTGATTTGTTTGTCAAGTTAAGTGGTTAGGACCTTTTTTTAATGAAATGGGTTCATTTGAGAAGCCCCGAAATGGATCACGTGCGCGTGCATTAATTTGTACCAAACAGTATTGCTTAAAATAAAGTAGACACATTACCACCAAGTCACACCAAATTCTATGGAACAATACATGCATTCACGCGTGACACAGTGTGAGAGTGTCTACTTTATTCCAAGCAATACTGGATGCACGAGGAGTGCATTTTGGGGATAACAACCGTCAATTTCTCGACTTTATACTCATATTGTAGACCCATCTTATGAAAATAATAATACATGTTTTAGCTCGTGCATTAGTGATATGCACTGCACTTGTTTAAATCAAAGTTACACCGACAATGAACTCGACAAGTCTCGTCAAGCTCCAAGGGGCGGATCTAGCTCTTTGCTAGGGGGGGGGGGGTCGACCAAATGACAATGCGGAGCATCGTCCCTCGAGCCGCGAAGAGGCTAGGCGATTTTGTTGTTGTCGCTATTTTGAACCCCCGTAAGTGATGTTTTCCTGGCATCTACTAACACAGTGGAGACCATAAAAAACAGTGCATGATATAACGTCTTTTTAAATCAAGTAACAGTTTAGTACACAGTTATATCCAGAGTTATCATGTCCTTGGTTAAGTTACCAGATGAGTTGAATATTTTCTCACCATATTTGCACTTGAAAGGTTTCTATGAAGTGTGCGTTCTTTCTTCTTTTTTTTTTGGCGGCCAAAGGGGGGAGGGGGTTAAACCCTACCACCCCCCCCCCCCCCCCGTAGATCCGCCCCTGAGCTCGTAAAACTCGACAAGCCTACTGTGACTTAAAGATAAACTTTAGTACTGGTAATGCGATTGCATTGTGAAAGAAAAGGTGTGAAAAGGATCAGAAACAGTTGTTGGTTTGCTCTGCAAGGTTCTGGAGTCATCAAAATCGTGATAAATTTGAATGAGTCTTGGTAAAGTAACAAGCACTGTACACAGAAAGCTATATATGGGACAACACACATGGTGTCAGGGCTAGTACTACCTTGATTTCCTTGTCTTTCTATGCTCATTACTCAGCCAGTATACATTTTCTTCCAAAATTGTTTGGCACATGTCATTTATTTGTCATCTTGAACATTCAGTGTAAGTTTTGTTTGATTCTGTGAGAATTAATTTTCTTTTTTTTTACCAGAACTGGAGTTTATCTTTAACCTGCGTGCAGTGCATATATATTGCACTCGCTAACATGTATTATTTGTATATCATCCACTCTCAGGGAGATTCGGAATCTGACACGTAAAACAAACATAGAAGCGGGCGAAAGACATGAATGTTGTGTTAAATGAAGATATCATTATATATGCGCGCTCCTTTTCAATTGCAAATGTTGCAAATGTAAATAAGGAACATCATAGGGAAGACATTCGTGAAGGTATCATGGCTACTAGCTACACGTAGATTATATATAGAACAAACATGGAAACTGGCGGAGACTATTGATTTGTGTCTCCAAATTAGTTTGTGCCTTTTCAATAGCAAATTCTGCGAATGAAAATAAGTCTATGAAGGATCATAAGAAAGATTTGACTCTTGTGGTTTCAGGTTCTTGTCGTAGCAAGAGTATAATAATTCCGCCACCTTTTTAAAAACATTATACACAAACTTTGTTTAATCTACAGTGAACTCTTTAGGGACGGAAGCTTGAACCTAGAGCTAGGCTCAATACGTGTGCATTGGTAAGTTTGGCTCAATCCGGTGCATCGGCTAAAGGCACGGCAGCAGTTGACATTTAAACCACTAAACTCCGGTGTGTATACAAGATCTTACATGCTTGAGAAACCATGACGACTACAGTATCCACCAATGGTTCAGCCTCGCCGACTTGGTCTTGGAACGAAATTGACTGGAGCGATTGGCACACGATTCTTCAGTTAGTACCAGCGTGTATAGGATGCCTAGGAAACCTAGTGGTAATCATTGTCCTGATTCCTCGACGTTCGCAGAATAGATCGACTGACATCTTAATAGGGCATCTAGCTGTAGCCGACTTTCTGACGTCCATGCTTCTTCTACCGATTCCAGTTGTTAGAACGGTTCCTCGCAACTGGTTAGGAGTCTTTTATTGTGGCTTTTTCGGTTTAAATAGTAGTCGTTGGGTTTGCATCTTCTCTTCAATTTACATTCTCCTAGCCATCTGCTGTGATCGCTTCCTTGCGGTAGTCTACCCTCTGCAGTTTAATCGTTGGATCACTAGAGGGCGTGCCACGTTGGTCGTTATTTGCATCTGGCTGGGTTCGTCCGTCGGTCAGTATACTACGAACTTCACCAGGCTGGACCGAGCGAAGTACGATTGTACGTTTATATCTTCAAGGCGTTATAGTCAGATCACCACCGGTTCTCTGAACTTTTTGTTTGTTTTCATCGTACCCTCATTGACCATGCTCCTCACACAAATCCTCATCGCCCGCACGTTGCTTCGGCAGTCGCGGCGTTTCAACTCTGACAGGAATTTGCCACCATTCAGGCCATCCTCCCAACTGGTCGCTAGACGGAAAGTGCTGAAGATGATGGCCATAGCAGTTGCTTCACGCACCGCTTCACGCATCTCCTGGTTAGCTACAGCTCTTGCGCTAACCCTTTCATCTACGCATCACAAAATAAGAAGTTCAGGCAGGCAATTGTGAACATGTGGAGACGGCATCAGTCGCGTAACTCACCTATTTTCTAATATATATTAGGTTGATAAGACCACCGATAATTTATACGAACCTCCTGCCATCTGATTTTCAAAGAAATCACAGCATTGGATATGGACATATAAACAAATATCATATTCCTGTTTTAGTTTTTAAATAATCAAATGAATATTCATAATCGGAATGTTAGTCCATTTGAGCCTTCTTGTCAACGTAAGAGCCACTTCGGCTTCAAATCGTAGACGGTCGTACAAATGAAATTACGTCACTACGACTCTGAGCCGATATGCGATATGAATTTTTCTCATTCAAGCAAACTGTCTGTCCCCCGAAATTGTTATTTGATTTTGCACATATACTGTAACTATTCAGAACATAGATTATTAGATATGTGAATGTTCTTGTCGAATGCTATTAAAAATTCATCCAAAATAGGATCGCAGTCAGGTGGTATAGTGTACGTGCAGTGCAGTGTACCGAGCTGATAAGGTAAGGTAAATCTTGTTTTCAAATTTACAGAAATATTGAAGTTAAAATAACACATGAATCACACCATCCACCCTCACACACGCTCCCGCACTCACAAATACAAACACTTTAAGAGGATATGGTAGGCCATTCATTGATTTCATTTTGATCATTACAGAATTCTTATTTTTTATAAATAGATCTGATTTGCAGATTATTAACATAGGCAAGGTGTCTAGGGACGGGCGAAGTGATGTTCTCAAACATTGTATATATACTTTTTTATATATATATATAATTTTTTTTTTTTTTTTTTTTTTTTTTTGGGGGGGGGATTATCCTGACAGAATGAGCAGGGAAATATTAATTACAAATTATGGGGAAGGTACCTTGAACATAGTGTGCTTGAAGTTAAGGGTACAGGCCCAACATGATTATGAAATGAGTATTTACTCTGCTTTACTTTACTTTGCTTCAGATCCAAAGGCTGGACAAATATTGTTTCGTATTTATTAGGTTCTTTTGGTAAGCATTTCGTTGTTTTGGGGGTAATTATGTAAGCACTCTCCAGCCAGTCTTTAGAAAACACGCTCCTCTGAAAAGCATGTTATAAGCAATCAGATAATTTGGAATAACAAGGAAATTATTGTAATACTAAATCAGTTTTTAAACATACCTTGTTTACAATGTGTAAATTTAGTAACATATTAGATGAAAAAAGAGTTGTTTTAAATGGCTAAATGTCAGACTAATTTTTTTTGTTATAATTAATAATAATATACCTTTTTTTGGGGGGGGGGAATGTTACAAGAGAATGTCTAGCAAGTGGATTTTTTTTTTTAGAAAAACAATTTAAGCAATACTCGATGATGCGTTCTGCGCATCCTGTTGACAACGGTTAGGGGTAAACCGCTATACTATCAAGCAGATAACCATCATACCGTTTATGAATGTATATATCCATTGTCCCAACACGCTTAGCGTATACTCCCTCTGTCGACATTGTTCATACCATATCATAAAACCGCTACTTTAAAGCTTATCTGTACGAGTTTATAGGAGGGATTAGACAACCCGCAAGGTCACTGAACAGTTGGTTATCTATCAGCTCAGCTCTCAGTTAACATAAGAAAAAGAGGATCACGGGGGGACCAATGGTCACCGATTAGGCATTGTTTTCTATACGGAGGGAGCAACTAGCTTCAAGTAGGACAGTGTTGCTTTAAGCAAAGGTAGAACGCCGGTATATCATACAAGCCTAACATTCTAGGCCATTGTTTTATGCTTATGGTAGTTCCGTCGAGATATCTTCTGTAATGTACTCCTTGAGGCATTCAAGAGAATATTTCCATAGAATCTCCTGTTTTTCCTTGTCTCTGTAATTTGATATAAAACAGAAAAGAATGAAAAGGGTCATTTTCTTAATAACAAACTTATCTGAATATTGTGTAAATGGTTAAATATATTGTCTTGACATCAATATTAATCTATAGAGAAAAAAGATGAGGGCAATGGTGTCGATTTGTATCCTTGGTTGGGGGGGGGGGGGGGGTGATAGGTGCCAAAATATTTTCGGCAAAGGATCAAAGCAACCAATGGGTAGAAGCGTGTGGCAGGTAGCATCCCTCCCTGAGCGCGTAGCCAAGGGGTTGGGTGCAGGGAGGGAGGAGTTTCCCCCCTCCCCCGCGAAGCTTTGACGTTTCATTACATTATTAGAGAAAGAAGACGATTCGTTGGACCGTTATCGACTCTTAATCCTTGTTTGAATCAAGTTCCCCTTCCTCCGCGCGTAGCGCAGAAGCTCTGACGTTTCATTAGATTATTAAAGAAAGAAGACGATTCGATGTACCATTCTCGACTCTTAATCCTTAATGTTTGAATCAAGTTTCCCTTCCTCCTTCCTCCGCGCGTAGCGCGGAAGCTCTGATGTTCATTAGATTATTAAAGAAAGAATACGATCGATTCGATGTACCATTCTCGACTCTTAATCCTTGTCTAAATTCAGTTTCCCCTCCCCCCCCCCTCCCGCGCGAAGTGTGAAAGCTTTCACGTTTCATTAAATTATTAGAGAAAGAAGACGATTCATATATCGTGTCCATGTCTGAGTGCAATCCCCCCCCCCCCACCCTCCCGCGCAGAGGGCGGAAGCTTTGCCGTTTCATTTAATTATTACTCTTAATCCTTGTCTGAATTCAATTTCGCCCATTCCTGCGCGAAGCGCGGAAGCTTTCACATTTCATTACATTATTAGAGAATGAAGACGATTCGTTGTATCGTGTGCTTGTCTGAATTAAGTTCTCCCCTGCCGCGCGAAGCGCGGAAGCTGTGACGGTTTCAATAAATTATTACTCTTAATCCTTGTCTGTATTTGTTTTCGCCCTTTTCGCCCTTACCGTTTCATTTAATTATTAGAGAAGGAAGACGATTCGTTGTATCGTGTCCTTGTCTGAATTCAGTTCCCCCCCCCCCCCCCGCGCGAAGCAGGGAAGCTTTGAAGTTTTATTTGATTATTACTCTTAATCCACATCTGAAATCATTTTCGCCCATCCCGTGCGTAGCGCGGAAGCTTTCATGTTTCATTAAATTATTATAAATGGCCACTAATTAGGCCCATTAGTGACCATACAAAATATATGCTCTTCCTGGCTATTTGGGAATGTGTCAGTTTGCAACAGAAATGGAGAAACGCGAATTTGTTGAAAATCATGTGATATATCACAAACATTTATAAATCACTTGTATGAAATTGAAAATAAATCATGTTTGGAATTATTATTTTTGGGGGAGGGGGGGGGGGCTAGCGCCCCCAAGCCCCCTCCCTCCCCCTCCACCAGTACGCCAGTGACATAGGGTTTCATCAGCTTTTAAATGAAAAAAAAAAGTTGTGACATAATAATCTTTCTCTAAAAGTGAAAAATGTTTTAGGAAATATCGGGAAATAAAATGAGTGAACAAAATAAACAAAGATACAATGACGTGGATTTTAAAGAAAGGTGAACGGAAACAACATAGCAACTAGTGAACTATCTTATAAGTCATACTGATGTCCGAAAATCGTTCTCCTTGTCTCCGATCTCATCACGAATTCGTCACAGAGTTCATCTATGTTTACACTGTCCAGGATTGTCTGATGTGCATTGCAGATTGATACTTTTGCGCTTCGCGTTTAACATTTAGCTTGTTGCTTTTAAATGCTGCAGCTTTGCATTTGGCGCACTGCATTTCTATGATGCTGTTGATTGAACAAATTGAATAAATTCATCAATTCCTGATGAAGCCGTATGAGCAAGAATTCAATTTATTCTTGTCTCATATACGGTTGTCTCATTTACTTCGTATATATGTAATTATGAAAATGAGATAGCAAAATGTGTATATTGATGGTCATCTTGCGAGTAATAACCATTAACTACTCTCATCGGACTCTCATCATTAATTTTTCTCTTCATTTTTTTTATTTTTTATGGTGAATTATTGGGGGGATGATTGTACAGGGCACCCCCCCCCCCCAGCTGAAATATTGGGGGGATATATCCCCCCATCCCCCCCCCCCCCGGGATCGACACCCATGGATGAGGGAGGTAGGGGGAGAACGAATGGAAGAGAGAGAGAGAAACAAAGAGAAGAGGAGGGAGAGAGAGAGAGAAAAAGAAGAAAGGAGATAGAGAGAAAAAGGAATAGAACGAGAGAGAGTATGTGTTTGTGTGTGGAGGGGGGGGGGCGGACGTATACCTGACCATAGCTGTGACATCCCGGGGCGTTGAGCTTTCAAAGTAGATCGCAGTCTTCCCATCATATACCGGGCTAGCGGCGGCATGAAGTGATGACAGCGCACCCTCAAATGGAGACCTCAACATTTCTAATTGATAAGATAGATTATGTTTATTTTCCACATCCAACTATCTGTAGTTATACATTGTCTATTATTTGTTTTGTATGTGTTAATTATGTTTTTCATATCTTCAAATCGATATATTGCATTTGTATATAAATTAAATATACAGAAGTCTCCAAAGCACGGACCTTATTTTTAAGTTTCCCATTTTATTTTCTTACAATACGGGCTTATTCACTACACCACTATGCCTAGTTTCACCAGGAGTAAAAGCATAATAGGACCTATGCATTACTATTTCGTAAAGAAATGATTTCACAGGGTCCTGTTTCATAAAATTTGTTAAAAGTAACAAGTTACAATAATTTGTATAAGAAACCGTGGCATTTGATCGACTGAGACCAAATTTTTAAACAGAATGTTTGTGTTATTAATAATTAATTTTATGAAACAGGGTCAAGTCTTGAGAGAAAAAATGATAACAATCTAAATCTGAACTAAAATAATAGAAAGAAAACATTTTTGTTTTGTTTTTGTGTGACACTTACTGGCCCCGAGGGTCCTTCGAATTTTCGTCAGCACCGGTACCTCCGGCCCACCACGCATGCAAATCTCTGTATCGACCACACCCGGGTGCACCGAAAACACACCGACCCCTTTTTCTTCCAAACGTTGAGCCAATGAGAACATGTGCATTATCTGTGAGGGATAGCACTAGTGATTAGATGAAATTATAAGATGATGAAGAGGATCATAATCAAAGGATTGGTTGAGAGCGTACACGTGATCAGGCATTGCTTTTGCCGAACACGTAATTTTACTAATGACCGGTCATTAGTAAATTTTAATGACCGGTCATCAGTAAAATCATGTAAAAAAACACCATTGTATAAAACAAGTAAAACATCATCTTATTAAACAAATAATACACATAATTTTGTTCGGGCATTATATGACCCACATTCGGTTAATTCGAAACAGTCCAAACACCCTCGGCTTTCATTCTTGAGTTACGAAAAACACAATAAAGCATCATATTGACAAGAGTATAAATAATTTAGTTGTTATCTGTATATTACAACTTATGCAAAAGATTTGTTTGACTAATTCATGAAATATACTTTTGTAAATTGGAAGGTATCAATTGAAGATCATTGAAATACGTTGATAGTAGGCTTGCGGATGCACCATGTAACAGAGAGGGATGATTGAGGAGTCCTGATAAGGACTCTTGGTAATCTTTCTTGGGGGTATGTAGTCCTGAAAAGGACTGTTGGTGTAGTCTTAAAAAAGACGGTTAGTTATCTTTCTAAGCTTATAGTACTAAGGAGAACTATAGCGCCGAATGGAGAGGATGGGTGGCGGGAGTGGCTCGCACTTGGAATAGGTTGACTATCCGTCGTCAGGAATGGGAAATAGCTGATTTATCTAAAACAGAGAAGAAAAAAAGAAGAAAAAAGGAGAAAGATTACCTGATAGTATTTCGAGGTAGCGTAACGATTCTTCAAGTCGGGGTTCTCCAAGCACTGCATATCGTCGACATTCCAGCTGGCGAGCCGATACATACCGGACGCAACAGAGACCACTCGAGATCCTGGACCAGATCTCTTCAAGACAGGTAGAAGATGGAGGATGAGTAAGAAGTGGGAGAGATAGTTGATCTGAAAGTGAGGTTCGTACCCGTCAGACGTCAGGGCTGAGGAAAGATATATTAAAGGGAATGGATCGTCAGTTTCCATGTGCAGAAGGCCATAATTCGCTGACACCAGACTTGGTGGAAATACCATTAATGGGAGTACAAATCTACACACAGCAAACCCAGAGGCCAGTCAAGAATTACCCCCTAGTCTCTAGGGGAGCTTGGGAGTAATGTTCATAAAACTGAAGGCTAAAACTGGTGATTGACAACACGTTCGGGTACACACCCGAATGGTGTCGAATTCCCCATGAAAGCTGGTTTATATGTGTCTTTAAAATGATGATGCGTTCAGTGCAAATTGTACTTGTTTAATTGTTGTAATATGCTTTTTAATTTTTGTATCGTGTTGTTAGTTGTTTGTTTTCTATATGCTGTTTCATTATCACGATTGCAAGGGGAATCACTTTTTTGAGGAGCAAGGCATTTTCTTTTTAATGTGATTTCCGGGCACAGCTTTATTCTACATTATAGCTTTGTAATTTAAGAAATCAGTATATTGAATTGAATAGAATAACTGCAGTAAACTTCTAACACTATTATTAAATACTAGTAGTTTTAAATATCGAAATATTGACCTTTGATTCCAAAGCCTATACACTTCATATTGTATAAGTTAAACAAAGGATTTACTTATATATTTCATTAGGTTTGCATGAATTAATCTGCTTGAATAGGTTAAAGACCGTCATTACTACCGGGCCAGAAGGGATGAGACCACACAGCGAGGTCACTGACAGGTGGTTATCTCATTAACTCGGCTCTCAACTAACATAAGAAAAAGAGGATCATGGGGGACCAACAGACACCGATTTGGAAAGTTTTCTATATAGAGGGAGCAAGTAGCTACAATTAGTACAGTGGGGCTTTAAGCAATGCCACCTACAGCAAAGCAGCCCACAGAATTGTGAGAAATTTCAATGTTGTTTTACCCTTGGGACCACAGAAGATACCAGCGTTGCACACAAGAACATGAAGAGGAAGACCTCTGCTCTTATAGGCTTCTATGAAGGTAACTGTACTTTCCAATGAGGCAAGGTCAAGGGTCATGAATTCAACGTGGAGATCATCGACCTGTGAAATGGGAGTAGAGAAAAGTATGTCAGTAAGACGCCCTCTAGGGGCATAGCAATACATGAATGAGCAATTAGAGACTAATTATTAAACAAAATCAAGTTAATATTGAAAATGTAAGTTTCGAAACATGCATTACTGACAAAAATTATCTAGAGAACAAAATTAGAAAAGAATTCAAAAATTTAAGCAATGTTATAAAACACGCTGACTTTTTCAAATCATTTCATGATTATACCTGTCACTTTTCTCTTTTTTTCTTCAAGCATTGTTAAATTATTACTATTGGAAATGGTTAAGTATGTTTAAAACAACGATAATTTAATTTTAGATTTCAGACAAGCAGATAATAGAATAGGCCCAGTAACATTAAGTGTTATTGTTTCTTAAGATTTTGCAGAAAGATTGTTTTTAACTTCTTTAAAAACGGCCGTCAGATTTTAAAGTTTGAGGATTGATTTTCTTTTATTCATACAGCACACACTCTATCCCATCCCCCTCCGCCCCGCCCCCCTTAACGACAAACATGTGAAATCTACTTTTATCCCATATCCATATAAGGAGATGTGAGTTGGTCTAGCGGCACGTTCACTTGGTCAGCTCTCTGTTTTCACCTGCAAACTGGCTCAGACGACCCTGGTTCGAAACCGAGTCACGTCTTTCGGACGGTGACAATAGGGACTTTTTCGATTAGCGTGGACGTATGACATCCTTTTAAGGCACTGGCAGTCACGTGTGATTTCCTTTTAAAGCACTGGCAGTCACATGTGACGTCTTTTTAAGGCACTGGCAGTGCCTTAGAAGGATGTCACACGTTACAGCCCACGTCCTCGTCGTGCAAATCTAAAAGTCTCTATTAAAGGTCGGTCCTCAGACGTAAATAATAAAATCTGATTGACACACGTCTGTTAAAACCCAATCACATATCCACATATACTTGCCTTTATTTGTACTTTCTGCTTTGTAGGATCAGATTTTTCTTCTTCGTGTTCCCTCTTCATTCTATAAATGGCCTGAAATGCATTTTGTTTAAAGAATCATATAAGAGTCATCTGATGGAGAGAAATTTAGAATTGAATAATTGAAACAAATCAGTTAATTGTTTAAATTATCTAACATTCGAAAGTTCTCTTTACATTTTACTCCATTTTACGCCCGATTTTCTAATTTCCGGACACGCCGGGCACCCCAATGCTGGAGAGAAATGCACTTTTTTATGTCAAAATGCTCATTTGTTCTACGCACGCAAGTCAGATTGAGCGGATGATACAACGTTTCGATATGTAGTTTCTGTAATAGTAAGTAGTAGTAGTAAATAATAGTAGTAATAGTAGCAGATGTAGTGGTAATAGTAGTTTATGTATATAGTAGTAAGTAGTATTAGTTTGTAGAAGTAGTAGTAGTAGCAGTAGTTGTGAATATGAGTAGTAGCAGCAGTAGTAATTTCTGTAGTAGTAGTAGTAGTAAATAGCAGTAGCTGTCGTTTAAGTAGCATACTAGCAGTTGAAGAAGAAGTAATAGTAGTAGTAGTGGTAGAAGAGGTAGTACGATCGTTGTTCTTTTTATCTATTATCATCGTTATCATCACCCTTTTAAAGTCTTGCGTACAGTATACACCTCACATTATATCATACTACTCGTGATTATGATAACTGTAATTGTGATCATTTCTCACCTGATTGGCTTTACATTCAGATCGGCACGCTAGAATGACCTTTGCCCCCACCTGAGCCAGTGCTTTTGTTGTCTCATATCCAGTGCCTGGTGAAGCGTTTGAACAAAGGGTTCAAATATTATTGACATTTCATTCGCCATCTGTGCCAGTTGGCACGGTTGTTCGTTTGCCACACGTTCAGATTGGCCCAAAACAATTAGGCATGGTGATGTAAAGATCCCTTTTAGCAACATATTATCTTCAATAAATGATCTGTATTTTCTCCATAACAACCCCTTTATCAATCCCTAGATTAATCTTGCACTGGAAAGAATTATGTATTAAATCCTGAAGGTGGTTCACAAAGCCTTTTTTCAATGACAAATGACCGAAAAAGAAACAAAAATCAGTGACAAATCTACTGATAACCAATCAAAAGCAAGGATTTCAGTAGCTTATAACAAGAACTGTCATTTGTCACTGATGACAAGTTTTCTGAAACGGGTCTCTGTTTTCTAAGGTGCTATGAAGTAATTCATATCGAAGTCAATATCAATTAAAACCCTCCTTCAAGCGAAGATTTCAGTGGTTCCAGATTCTGGAGAATAATCTCAAAATACGTTGAAATTAATAGTTGTTTAAGGCAGGGTATTCTACGGGCACTACTTCAGGGGGGTGTTTCATGAAACAATTAGTCGGTGATTTGCACCGACTAATACCATTTTCACCGACAATTTTATTGTCACCGACTATTTTCCAGGCCTCTGATTTGTCAAATTTAGTTGCCGCTGACAGTTGTCGGTGGACAAATGTTGATGAAATGCCCCCCCCCCCCGAATTACATATAACTGCCATCTGCTGCTCACAATGTCCCGATGTGTCTACAGCCGTGTCCCACCATGCATCACCAATAATGACAGGCTACTCCGTTCGTTTAAGCGAATTTTCGCGACCGTGATTCTGCGGAATCACTATACAAAACTCATCTTTTTCAGCGTTTCATGTTTGTGTTTAAACACGTTTATTTTTACGACCGACGAAAAGTCGCTTGAACGCAACCATGTTTTAAACTAAAAATCTTTGAAAACCGTGATTCCAGGGTGAAAAAAGTGTCGATTGAACGCACCCTTAATGACATTATATTATGTTACCTGTATTAGCTCCTGTAACAATGACCACCTTGCCATTGAGATCGACATCTGGAAGGCTCGGTTGACTAGGCTGTGACCCCATGCTAACCTTTGATACAATGGTCCTGGTATGGAGAAGTAGTTATCCAAACATATGATAATAATACAAAATTCAACGATATATTTGAATTTTGAATTGATATATATGTTCATACATATTGCTATGGTATGTTCGTCTTTCGGATGGTGACGTTCAATAATCGAAATATACAAAAAGGACATAATTACAAAACGGGACACAAAGGACAGGAAACTGACATAATAAGATAAGACAATACGTGACAAAACAATTCATAGCAGGACAAGATAAACAAGATATGACTGGACAAGACAAAAGAAGACATGACAGGACAAAACAAGACCAAACAAAAACGTTGACATCTTGGCCATTGTGACGTCACACTTCGTTACTCTATACCGAAACGTAGAAGAGGTCCAGACAGAAGAGTATTTTGTACATGTACGGTAGTGCGAAGGAAGCGTGGATAAGGTTAAACAAATAGTAAATGAAAATGCTTATAGCTTCGGTTGAATTAATGAATTAGAATCATCTATTTGTGCATGGAGAGAAGCTAAAGATTTTAAATGTGCATTTTACAACTACTATACAAACAAAATGGGATTTATAGTGGTGTATTTGTAGGACAATGTACAAACTTGGATGGGGTTGAGGAAATTTTGGCCCGTGAAAAGAGACAACTAAGATTTAAGAAATACAAATGAACTTATACGTAGGATTATGGCATATTTCATAAATTAATTAGACGCATACTTAACACATTAGGTAGTACAATGATAAATACATTGATTATGATTGGCACAACACTTAACACATGAATTCGTTTTATAATTAACATACTAATTAGTACAATAATTAGCACATTAATTTTGATCAGCGACATAAAGTTAACCTTTACTTTGAAAGTTTTTAGTTTTATGTGATGAACATATAGCAATTATAATGACGAAATAATGTAATGAAAGTAATGAAGGATAAAATGGTAATTGTTCCAATTATTTTTATCCTGATATACAATGTATATTTATTATCTCATAATTGTGAATTCTTATTTTGTTCTTTACTCTTAATTTTCCAGGATTCAGACTGTGGGGGTGACATGCTTTCGAGGAATATCAATTTGAATTGCTTTTGTCACCCCTGACCAGCAGATTGTATCCTTCTCTCTCTCTCTCTCCTCTCCAATTTCCTGCATCTGTTTGCATATAGAATGAAATTTCTATGTATTATCTGATTGTTATACCCATTGTAGGTTTTCCGATCGGTCAAATACATAATAATGATAATAATAATAATAATAATGTATTGTAATAACCGACATGAATATCACAGAACAAAATAAATAACACTCACCTCTGAGTGTGATGTCGATGGCGTTGCTTACCCTTCTTCTCACCCTGTACATAGTGACATATATGTATCCAATCGATGCTATCAACATGATATGTAGAATACGAGTGAACACGTTCCCGTTTCGGAATCCTATCATGCATAACAGGAAGAGGCCTTTTCTCGAAACCGTCATAAGTCTAACTTTTTGGATATCCCATTGAAACGTATGTTATAGAGTTAACACGTGTTTCTATGGGATGTCCACTGATTTATAATTATGACGGTTTCGAGAAACTGGCCCCATTAATTTTTCTAGTAATATGGTGAGATCGCGATATGAATACATGTATATGATTTGTCGCACAAAGGCGAAGCCACAGAAATTCAAAGAGCAAGGCAATAATAACTATTCATCTCTATGCTCTGTTGATTTGACCTATACCGAAATACTTTACTAGATACCATATAAACCTTAATGCATGCCTATTCTTTCATAACAATGATAATACAGTGAAGACTCGTTATAACGAGGTCCTTCGGACCAAGGAAATTACCTTGTTATATTAGGAATATTCTTATATCAGGGTTTAAAGCCCGTCTGTACTAGTTAAGCCAGGGGATTAGATCTCCTTGCAAGGTCACTGACAGGTGGTTGTATCTAAATTAACATAAGAAAAAGAGGATCATGGGGGACCCACAGGCACCGATTAGGCATTGTTTGCTATATAGAGGGCGCAAGTAGCTACAAGTAGTGCAGTGGGGCTTTACAAAAAAACGGCAGAACATAAAGAGCTGAGACCAGCAAAATCTCCTAGTGAGTACAGATACCTTGTTATGTCAGAGCTATTTATACTGAGGTTCCCCTGTAATAATTTTGTTTAGCCTCATCAGCATCAGTGCTATTCGTCTTGAGGGCCCTACAAATATTATAACCCTAGTCATTTCCAGAAACCCATTTACACCCGGGTGGTGAGTGGCTAATGTGGATTGATGTCTTGCCAAAAGACGGTAGTGCCGGGGTGAGATTCGAACCCTCAATCCTTCGAATTAACCGCTATCCACGCCACCCAATCCCAAATTATATACATGTATATGGAAATAAGGTTGTGTGTTTATATATGTATGTATGCATATATATACATATAAACATATTTATATAAAGTCTTAAAGTATCAATTCGAAGTTTAAGACGTTTCACGAGATCATATATATGATATTAATATATAATATAATATAGATTGATGTCTTGCCAAAAGACGGTAGTGCTGGGCTGAGATTCGAAACCCTTATAAAGAGCCAACCAACGTCTATCAGGTTGCCGCGGGTGAAAAGGACTCCATCGAGTTCGCAGAATATTCTATCTCATGTTAATCATTTCGCTTGCAACTAATTAATATTTATAGACCGCCCTATTCCGAATCACGTCCAGTAACGGTTGCTGATTGTATATAAAGCACTTCTTGGTCAAGCTCCCACTTATATCAAATAACTGTTAACTTTCAAGCTTAATCGACACAATCGGAACTTGCGCAGTTCCCGAGATGCTTTGTAGCTGCAGATCCCATCTATCAAAACAAAAATAACGCTAGGTGATCGAGCATTTGCTTGTGCAGCCCCAAAACTCTGGAATAATTTACCATTACAAGTTAGGAGATCACCATCTGTAAATATCTTTAAATCAAAACTTAAAGCAAATCTTTTCAATTAACTGTAAATCTAGGCATATCAGAAGCTCTTGTATATAGCGCAGTAAAATATATACTTAATGTTGGATAGTTTCTGCGCTCTATAAATGTATTATTATTATCATTAATATATGTGCACCCTTTTGGAAAACAGCACCTCGTCCCGATAAAGGTGTTCCATTTCTCTTGTGTTTAAACAAAATGAGGGGGTAGCAATGGGAACTGCGATACAGCTACGTATCATTTTATCATTATTCTACCATTTCTGTTTCTCACAATTGTGTATTCTTTTCTAAGAGAGAAACCAAAGTTGTGAATGCTTTTTTAAACATTTCTTTCATTGCATTAACCGCATGCAGAAACCCGTTAAATTGATCTATATAGAACAATTTTTTTTCAATTCGACATATTATTAATTTGACCCCTAACGCAATAGTTGTCAATGAAAGGTTTATTCTATCGTGGCCGTATTTATCTCTCCCTATCTATGCCTCGATATATATCTCTATCTCTCTCTCTCTCTGTCTCTCTCTCTCTCTATTTAACCCGCTCTGTATCTCTATATCTATTTTTTTTCTCTGTATGGCCCTCTCTCTCTCTCTATATATATATATATATACATTTGTCTTTCTCTCTACGTTTATTTCTCTCCTTCTCTCTCTCTCTCTCTCTGTATATACATATATATATGTATGTCTTTCTCTCTCTCTCTCTCTCTCTCTCTCTATATATATATATATATATATATATATATCTTCTAAATCTTTTATAATGTTTGTGACCCAATGACCTAGTGATTACATATAAATGTCATTTGCCGAACAATTTTGGTAGAAAATGTATACTGAGTAAATGAGCATAGATACATTAGGAAATCAAGGTTAGAAGCCCAGACACCGTTTGTGTAGTCCCATATACATCTTTATGTGTAGAGTGCGTGTTACTTTACCAAGACGGGGCCAAATTTATTTTGATTTTGATGACTCCATAACCTTGCAGTACACACCAATACTTACATGCTACATGAGCAACGTTTTCTGATCCAATCCACACATTTTCTTTCACAATGCAATCGGATGACCAGAACTCACCTTTATCTTTAAGATTGAAATATATTAGAGCAAATTTGTATCTGTCTAAACCAAACTTTTCAATCCCTGATCAATCTATGTGCATGCTTAATGAACATGAAAGGGCAATTCATCCCTTCTAATAGGGACTTTTAGATTTGCACAACGACAACGTGGATTGCTACGATCGACGTCCTTTTAATGCACTGCCTTGAACGGACGTCACACGTTTCAAAATGCAAAAGAAAGCCATCCGGGTAATTTCAAATTCACACTACAGAGCTCATTCGAAACCTATATTTTATAACTTAAAGCTTCTCAATGTATTTGATATCTGTTAATATCATATTGCAGTCTTTATGTACTTGTGTCGAAATGAATCTTTACCATGTGCACTTCTAAAGTATTTTAATTTGAATTCGACCCTTCATGATTATGAAACTAGAAATGCATCTAATTTCCACTTACCTCAAATTAAAACAACTTTAATGAAAAAGTCAATATCTTTCGATGGTCCAAAAATTTGGAATTCCATTCCAATAAATATAAGAAATTGCAAAAGTCTTCAAACTTTTAAACGAAAATATAAAATGTATTTAATTGAATCCTACGTGCTATAACTCACCAGGCTCTTTACCCCCCCCCTTGTTTTCCCTCTTTTTGTCATGCTTCCAATCGTACAACATTTAATTTAATTTACCTTTTATTTATATTATACTGAGGGATGGGCTCTAGCATAAGGACCATACTCCTTTTTAGCTCATCCCTTCACTCCCATTATGTTATGTTATTTTGTTGTTGTTGAATGTATGATCTTTTATGTGTGATTATTCCTCATTTAATTGTATATGTTCTTGTATTTTTAATGATGAGTGTAAATAAACGAACTTGAACTTGAACTTGAACGTTTCAGTCCCCGACAATCTTAAAGTCCCTAATAACTCCATTAGTGTGAACGCATGAGAATAAGATCAACAGAATGGTGAAAGTTTGAAATAAAACGGACCAATAATAAGAAAGTTATGAATGTTTGAAATGGGAGATCAATAAGTATATGCGAATCTCAAGATGGCAGTTTGGTCAGTAGACTATGACGTAGTCGCGGGTGATTCTCCCGCTCGTCGTTTGTCGTATTGAAATATATAATTAATAGCCCTATCTGGTTTTCTCCTAATTTCCTTCTCCTTTGATGTGATACTCAAAATATATCATCGATAGGGATGTTATTATAAGTTCACCAAAGAGAAAAGAGCCACCTGGGTCATATATTTTTGAAAAATTGATATTGTACTCATTTTTGTTGATAGAACGACTGGGGAAAGTAGTCCGTCACTTCATTACAAAGGCATTACCGATTCAGCCACTTTAAAGAGCCCATAACAATAGTGATTGTAATTTTCTGAAATTCATATAATTTCTCTTTTTTTCGATTTCATCCAAACTTTCATCAGTCTACTTCTCTGATTTTTTGCTTTCTTCAAGAGTAGTTTGCTATCAAGGTAAGGTCTCCTTTTCAAAAAGGCAGAAAAGATTCTACGAAAAAAAAAGTGACGTACATTTCATGAATCAATTCCTCATTTCTACTTTTATCGTTGTTTATATATATGTATATATTTACAAAGATATTGCAGATTTACCGAGTTATACTCACACACTAAAGAAGATAGTACTAGTTTGATCCAGACAAGTTATGTTTGTCATTAAAAGATTTATTATAAAATTGTTACAGATCAGTTTTATTTCTATATAGTCTCTCTTTTGCAAACAATCAAAAGATTTTTTTATTAAATTAGAAAAAAAAGAATTCAAATTATCATAAAAAGAATAATATCGTACATCATGGTGTTTTAAATACATTTTTTAATTATGCAAATTCATCTACCCTGAAAGGCATAATTATCTTATCGGCTTTTTTCTAGCAGTTTATTCTCATGTTCAACAAAGTAAGACATTTGCTGTTCAAAAATAATGTATAAACCGAATTTGTTAACGTTTTCTAATTTTTGGTTAACACAAATGCTATGATGCTTATGACAGCATCATTATGTATATCATTACCAATACAATAATAATTGCGATTTTTTTTTTTTTTTTTTTTTTTTTTTTTTTTTTTTTGATAATTCTTGGGAAATATAAATGTATGCATGTAGACATGAATAAACTGTTGTCAATAAAGTTGAAATAACTCTTCTTTCCTCTATTCATGAAAAGTTTGTGAAAATATAGTTTATTCTTGATAGATAAAGTTTATTTCGTCTCGAAATTTGTTAATTAATCTAAAAGAGTCTTAGAAATGGATCAAGAGGATATAACTTTTATCGTTCAGAAATAAAACACATTGCCACAATCATTTACTGGGAATTTGATGAGAACAGCTTATACCACTACTGTATACACGTCCAAATGCTTTCTTAGCAGTCAGATAACATTGAAATAATCAACAAATTATCTCAGGGAATCATGCAACGTAGGGCCGCTTATCGACAATGTTTATCCAGTCATCACAAAGACTTTTAGAGAATTTATTGCACAGGCTTCATTTCATCTTTAAGAAATATAAACAATTTTCCGAAGGGTCAAGCGGGGGCGTTTCACAAAACTTGTCATCGGTGAACAATGACAGTTTTTGTTATGAGCTACTGAAATCCTTGCTTCTGATTGGTTATCAGCAGATTTGTCACTGATTTTTGTCATTTATAATTGAAAAGAGAATTTATTGCAAAGGCATTATTTCACCTTTAAAAAATATAAACAATTGTCCGAAGGGTCCAGGGAGGCGTTTGACAGAACTTTTCATCAGTGACCAACGACATTTTTTGTTATAAGCTACTGAATTCCTTGCTTCTGATTGGATATCAGCAGATTTGTCACTGATTTTTGTCATATGTCATTGAAAAAACGCTGCGTGAAACGGGTACCAGGTTACTTATGCTGATGCGAGTTCCTTCATGACATCCTCTGTGATGTGATCCTTCAGGCATTCCAAGGAATATTTCCACAGAATCTCCTGCTTTTCCTTGTTACTGAAAAAAAAGGAAATTAATTAAGTTATGGCAGGTAGGGCATACTTTCTTTAAATGTCGTGTAAAAGGCCGGGTCGATATTTACTTTGATATTGTTCAAGGGCATTACCTAGTACGTATACTTTTATGTTTATACTTTGTAATACCTCTACTTCGTTATATTGTATCATTTTGTACACTTTTAGTGCACGTTTTGGGGGAATAAATTTCAAATTAAAAACATTATATTAACTTATATGAAGTGAAAATTTTCTCGTCTGTAGATTTCTCGACGCACACGTACGTGCACGTATTCGCTTGCACGCGTAAGGTTCTACTGCAGTTCCTTGAGGTAGGTCTTTATGTGGTTCCCACTAACCAATCATGTCAAGAGTAGAATTCAGGATTATCTTTAATATTTTGTTATGATTTACCATTTCAATTCATTGCTATAATTATTTCTTTCAGTCGACTCGCCCCTTTTAGCAGAAAATTGAGATCTGGAAAATATGAAAACCAATTTTGCGAGCTTTCCCATTCTGTCACAAGTCAGTTTAGAAGAATATGAAAGAGAAAATAGGTCTTTACCCTGATATGGGGATTGATCTTCAAATGCCTTCAGTTTCGAAGTATGACCAACATTATCCGTATAGAGAGCTGGTCCAAAACTGCGTGCCAGACGTGTATGAAGTCCAATATACACATTTATGTGAATGTGACCTCTCTTTAGCAAGAACTAGTCAATTTCAAACAAATTTACTGATTCCAAACCATTACAGACCCACACTGTTTCTCAAGGACTACATGAATCAAAGTTTCCAATTGCTTTCACAATGTAATTACAAGGTGGCAAGCCCATGGTATATTTGGTAAATTTCGTGTCCCATACGTCACCAAGTAGTGTAAAGCTCTGAGCATAATAATGGCATTAAAAGTGTCTTTTCATTCCACCGTTGGACTGATAAAAACCTCTCAATACAATCATGAGATATTTACTAAAATCTTGGATGCAGCTTGTGATGTACGGGACAAAGGCTTACACTTGTCCAACACCAGAACTCAGTATTACCTTTAACATTCGGGTTAAAGCCTACGATCAAGGTAGTGCAGGCGGCTTAGTTCGAATCATTCGGTCGTCGCGTTGGGTCAGATGGTATCGTTATCTGACCTTTGGTGAAAATGTGCCCCTTTGTTCACGGAATGTCGGGAGGTAGTGTTTTTGAAATAAACCCTGGTCTACAAATGGTTTGGTTCAATTTACAGGACAATTTGTGAAAACCCTACAACAAAACTACGAAAGATCCTGTAACGCGACCACCAGACCGAACGTGATGACCCGATGGTTCGAAGTAAGCCATGCAAACGACATGTTTGTTATACCTTGCCATGGCATTAACACTTTTGGGCTTTGAGCTGTCAAAGAAGAGGGCAGTCTTATCGTCGTAGGCCGGGTTAGCGGCGGCGTGGAGAGATGTCAATGCACCGTCGAATGGAGTCCGCAACAGTTCTTCGTTAAACACGAGAAAATATGTTACGTGAGGGATGTATTAAGTTATCAATATGATATTCAACAACGTGGTAGTTAAACAAATGTAATTTGGGAAAATGAAATTGACATTAATTATGTTTGGGGGGTCAATTAAAAACAATGACAGAAGAAAATATAATGTACTCTTTCCTAGTTTCTTCATGAACGCAAAGTTAGTTCCAACTGCGGTATATATTTATCATATTCCATGTTGATTATAATGCAATAGCAATGAGAAAAGCCTAAACTCAATTAAAAAAATAAATTAATTGACCACTTTGAAGGAAAAAAAAGATGGTTTCTTTCCAAAGTATAATCAGAGGAAATGTTCAACTATTCTACTCATGATGTTGCAAGTAAAAAAAAAGTGGAAGGACTTTTCTTTAATATCCATCTCCCCTTAATTAGTTTGAAGAAGAAAACATCTAATACTTACTCCTTCCCGCGCCGCTAAAAAGTTTCACGTACCCCGGTACCTGCTGCCCGTCACGCGATGCAAGCTCTGTGTTGACGACACCGGGGTGCAGCGAAAACACGTTGACCCCTGACCCTTCTAACCGTTGAGCCAATGAGAACATGTGCATGACCTGTGGGCGTGTGTGATAGACGCGTTAAAATGCTATCTTTCACAATGTTCGTGGTAATTGTTGTTACGAATACATTTATGCATATTCAAAGGGATAGTTGAGTTCTTGTTTAAGACCGCAAATGCCTTCAAAATGCATGGTTATTGCTCTTATTCTTATTCATTACATATCTAGGACCTAGAATTGCTATGAAGCTAATTTTAGACCTCAAAATGTGTACAATTTAAATTAAATACGAGTAAGCCTACCAATTCAGCTCCACATTCAAAAAAATATTATGACCGTTAAGTAAGTAATTGATTAATAATACCAATGCACGGGCCGGCTGGAGGTTCGTATTGACCAACATAAAAAGTCAACAAAAAGTCAACATTGGCATTGACTGGAATAGCACGTATAAGGCGGAATTTCGTTTTTCAACGGCTGGTTCAAAATGATCGAATATTATTTGTGGTGCACGAGAAATATTATAAATTGTTATATTTATGGAAATTTCAGCCGTCTCTGAATCGATTTTGATCAAACAAAGATGATTTCGTCATTTAAATGGTATTTTCTTTCAATTTTGCCACTCAGTTTTTCATTATCTCACAACAAAATTGTTTGTGTAGCACCCTCTGCAACAAAACTCAACTATCCCTTTAAGAATACATTTATTATGCATGTATACGAATCAGAAATTCATGCATATTCATGAATATATCAATGCATAATCATGAATACATGTATGCATATATTCAGTAATAGATTTATGCATTTTTATGAATATGTAAATGTTGTGGAGACGGAATCAGAATTGGGATAGGGAACGTTTCAATAACCGGTATAACATGAATATATAAGTACAGCATTTGTCCATAGTTGAGAATAATCTGAGCGTTGTGGCGTGCGCCTGTAATTCAGCTAACAATGGAAGTTACAAATTAATTCAGCTGAGAACGTAAGTATGTAATCCCATAGGATTTTGTGTGCCAAAGTTGATTTTTTTTTTATTTTATGCTGTTTTGGCTTCAAAAGGGTCCCAATTGGCCAAAAATGATGGGGTTCAAATTTTCAGACCCCTCCTTCATTTCCTGGGGGTCCATATTGGGCGCCGAAATGTCATATATAACGCGCAATAGGGAAATTTGGTGTCTTTGGCAAAATTTGAACCCCATCAATTTCTGATAGCTTGGACCCCAATCAATCCAAAAATGCAACAAAAAAAAATCAACTTTGGCACACAAAACCTACGGGAGCTGTTTTAGTGACATACCACACTATGACGTTAAAGGTCGTTCCCCAGATGTAAATAATCATAAATGATTAGTACACGTCTGTAAAAACTCAATTACACACACACACACACACTGTGTTTGTGTGGGGGTGGTCAATGTGTATGATCCGTTAGATCGTTTAAGTCTTATCACGCCACAGGGCTATTCCCCATTGTGCCAAGCCCCAAATCCCCCGTGCCAGGTTGTTCTGGAGATAATCTGATTAACGCGGTGGTTCTATGAAGAGCGAGTGCAAAATACACAGCACAGTCCAATGAGCATGAACAATAACTGCTATTACGAATGCTGCATTGCACGCACATGGCACTCAAGCGAAGGCTCTCTCGCATGTACAAAGAACTATAACGATAGCGTGCATGAAGCTGTGATATATCTTTGTTTGAACCCTACACGCCGTAATTACGAACATGTATACATTCAACAAATAAATTGTAAATTTGTTTGTTGTGCCTTAATGTATAAACCCAAGAATGGAAGGTGGATTTGTTGCAGTAGGACTTTAGTTCAATGCGTTTAGATGTAAGCTTTAATACATCAAATTGTTAAGAAACACGAATCGGGACAAATAAAATGTTCACATGATTACAATATTACAAAACGTGGTAGGGGTATGAATAATTTAGTTGTTAACTGTATATCAGAGCCAAATATTATCGAAAAACCTCCTTTGTGAATTCGGGCCATATAGTTCTCTAATGACGGTAGCCTCATGGGTTGAAATACTGGGCCTCGTTTCATGAAACCGTCATAAGTACAAGTTTGCCGACATTCGTGTGAATTGCAGATGTTACTATTAACATGTTTCAACTTTCGTAAAACAGTGCCCCGTTCTTCTTCGATCACATTTTTATCATTGAAAACGCAGCTGAATTGTACATTATTAACCTATGTCGCATATGTTCAGGGGCCCGTTTCATAAAACTTGTTATCTATAACAACTGCTAAATTTATATGACAAATTTGCTCTCAGCCAATCAGGTGCCATGATTTTAGTATCTAATAACAGTAGCTTGTAACTTTTTATTGATATCAAGTTTTATGAAACCGGGGCCAGGTTTTGCAGGTCTAATGCACTGAAGGTAGCAGATTGGTACATCATGGAGGAAGCATTTTTGTCGTATTTTAAAGTCAACTCCTACTTGTATTATGTATTGGTATATTATGTGAAAGGCACATTCATGACTGAAATGAATACCTGATATAGTTTGGAGTTGTAATATCCTTTTCCTCTGTCATTCTTTGTCAAATAATACAGATCACTGTGTTTCCATGACTAAAATTAATACCTGATAGCATTTTGAATTGGAGTATCGTTTTCCTCTGTCGTTGTTCTTCAAACACTGCAAATCGCTGGCATTCCAGTTGGCAAAGCTATACAACGAGGAAGACACCGAAACGATCCGGGCACCGGGACCAGAGCTCTTCAGGACGGGCAGGAGGTGGAGGATGAGAAGGAAATGAGAGAGATAGTTGATTTGGAAATGAGGCTCGTATCCGTCAGACGTCAGTTCTAAGGGAAAGAGATAGAGGTATTGATAATGCCTCAGTCACGCTTTTGCATATTTAGCTTGCGTTGAGCTGCGTATTTATGGCAAGCCGTTTTAACATTTATTCCTTTTTCTTGATATCAAGAAATCGAATTCTCAAAAGTTCATTTGAAAATTTATTAAGACATATGTTAAAATTATTTGTAGGTTTGTATACAATGTTATAAATTATGTACAATTTGTCTTTATGAGAGAAATGAATAAAAACCTAGGAAAACAAAAAAAGACCGAACTAAATATTACATTAGCTTGACTGGTCAAGAATTGATCGGTTTGGAATCGGTGTGGAGTCGATTTGGCCGTGTGACTAACGTATTAATTATCTGGTGCATAATACGTGTGTACGTATGTACGTGAGAGATTTAAACCTTGGATTGATAGTCAAGTGAAAGAAAAACTATACCACGACTCTTTCTGTCATATGTGGGCATTTTAACTCATAGCCTGCCATAAGGCTGCATGCACGCTATCGTTATAGTGCTTTGTACATGCGAGAGAGCCATCGCTTTAGTGCCATGTGCATAAAAGCACGCATTCGTAATAACAGTTATTGTTCATGCTCATTGGACTGTGCTGTGTGTTTTGCACTCACTATTCATAGAACCATCGTGTTAATCAGATTATCTCCAAAACAACCTGGCACGGGGGGATTTGGGGCTTGGCACAATTGGGATTAGCCCTGTGGCGTGATAAGAGTTAAGAGCAATCAAAGATTAGTGAGGCCGCAATTTGTCCGCATCATTTAGAATAACGAACCTTCGATAATACACAAGCTTTGTGTCTAAATAAGTTCCCCATATTTCACATTATATCCTGCATAAAAAATGTATTGGTTTCGGGGTTGGTTGAGAGCTTTTCACGTGATCAGAAAAATGTTAACCATTTCAAGGTTGCTCTGAAAAAGTACTACTTGGGAGTTAACATTTGTATTTATACAATTTTTTTTTTTTTTTTTTTTGTTAAATGTCAATACATTTTTCTTTTCTGAAAATTTGTTTTTGATGCAGGATATAAAAAATACACTCTGTCTTCTTTTCGAGGTACTGGTTAAAACTATGGGCCTCGTCGACTCCAATAGTTTTAACAAGAACCTATCAAGACAGTGTATATGTGTATACTATTATTACATGTGTATCATTGCTTTTACCATGCATTCTCTCGCTAAATCTTATGTACGAGACTATTTTGTTACGCAAAGTTCTCATCAAAGCTTTCTTACCTTCTGGGCCAAACATGATACCGGCATTGCACACAAGAACATGTAGAGGAAGACCCTTGCTCTTGTAGGCTTCAACGAAGGTCATCGTACTTTCTAGTGACCCTAGGTCAAGGGCCATGAATTCAACGTTGAGGTCATCGGCCTATTGTGCAGGTTAGACATTTTAACAGTTCAAAAAGAGTCATTGCTAAAATATATTTTCAGTCTGATATTACTGTATTCATGTAGTGTTCTTACTTTATTGTTATAATTATGGGTATTCATTATAACGACATGTGCGTTTATAAATTCCTTTCATCACGCCCCCCCCCCCCACACACACACACACACACAAACACCGCCCACACACACGGATAACACATCCGTTGTCCTGCCATGGCTCCGTATACTAACCTTTATTTGTACTTTCTGCTTTTTCGGATCTGTTTTCTCTTCAACATGCTCCTTTTTCATTCGTTCAATGGCCTAGAAAAAAAGAATTTTCAAATATCAAATTAACAATAGCAACCATCTATTTATCTGTGTCCCATAGCTTGGAGGCCGTTGGGTGCGACAATGAAATTGACTTTGAGACACAGGTTTTCCATAATTTTCTTCAGCTGTTCTGGATATAGCTGCTTAAATAATAATAATAATAATAATAATAATAATAATAATAATAATAATAATAATAATAATAGCAAGTTTTCATATAACGCTTGGGGTCTATTCGCTATTCATAAGGACCGCTATTCATAAGGTCCGCTATTCATAAGGACCGCTATTCATAACGTGTAAATTCCCGTACTTCCGGGTCCGCTATTCATAATGGCAAAAGAGGGTCACTATTCATAATGAAATAAGGTTCGTTAATCATAAGAACCGCTATTCATAACGTGAGATGAGGGTCGCTATTCATAATTCATATTAAGGGTCATTAATCATAAGGACCGCTATTCATAATATGAAATCAGGGTCGCTATTCATAATACGACGAGAGGGTCGCTATTCATAATACGAAATAAGGTTCATTACTTATAAGGGTCGCTATTCATAACACGGGAAGAGGGTCGCTATTCATAATAGGAAATGAGGGTCGCTATTCATAATAGGAGAAGAGGGTCGCTATTCATAATAGGAGAAGAGTGTCGTTATTCATAATAGGAGAAGAGGGTCGCTATTCATAATAGGAAATGAGGGTCGCTATTCATAATAGGAGAAGAGGGTCGCTATTCATAATAAGAAATGAGGGTCGCTATTCATAATAGGAGAAGAGGGTCGCTATTCATAATAGGAGAAGAGGGTCGCTATTCATAATAGGAAATGAGGGTCGCTATTCATAAAAGGAGAAGAGGGTCGCTATTCATAATAGGAGAAGAGGGTCGCTATTCATAATAGGAGAAGAGGGTCGCTATTCATAATAGGAAATGAGGGTTGCTATTCATAATAGGAGAAGAGGGTTGCTATTCATAATAGGAGAAGAGGGTCGCTATTCATAAAAGGAGTAGAGGGTCGCTATTCATAATAGGAGAAGAGGGTCGCTATTCATAATACGAAATGAGGTTCGCTATTCATAATAGGAGAAGAGGGTCGCTATTCATAATAGGAGAAGAGGGTCGCTATTCATAATAGGAGAAGAGGGTCGCTATTCATAATAGGAGAAGAGGGTCGCTATTCATAATAGGAAAAAGGGGTCGCTATTCATAAAAGGAAAAGAGGGTCGCTATTCATAATAGGAAATGAGGGTCGCTAATCATAATAGAAGAAGAGGGTCACTATTCATAATAGGAGAAGAGGGTCGCTATTCATAATAGGAGAAGAGGGTCGCTATTCATAATAGGAAATGAGGGTCGCTATTCATAATAGGAGAAGAGGGTCGCTATTCATAATAGAAGAAGAGGGTCGCTATTCATAATAGGAAAAGAGGGTCGCTATTCATAATAGGAGTAGATGGTCGCTATACATAATAGGAGAAGAGGGTCGCTATTCATAATAGGAGAAGAGGGTCGCTATTCATAATATGCAATGAGGGTCGCTATTCATAATAGGATTAAGGGGTCGCTATTCATATCATATATTCATTTCTCTTCAAATCCTCTTCTTTCTCTAATAATTTAATGAAACATCAAAGCTTCCACGTTTTGCGCGGGAGGGGGGAAACTGAATTCAGACAAGGATTAAGAGTCGAGAATGGAACAACGAATCACCTTCTTTCTCTAATAATTGCATTAAACAATGAAAGGTCAAAGCTTACGCGCTTTGCGCAAGAGGGGGAATAGAATTCAGACAATTATTAAGAGTCGAGAACGGTACAACAAATCGTAATTTTTCTCTAATAATTAATGAAAGGTAAAAGCGAGGGGGAAAACTGAATTCAGACAAGGATTAAGAGTCGAGAATGGTACAATAATTTTTCTAATAATTAATGAAAGTTCAAAGCTTTCGCGCGTAATGGGTGGGGGAGGGGAGGGGGGGGGGGGACAGCAAGCTACCCGAATATGAATTTTTGATATCTTTTCTCGTTTATCTTGGTGATAAATAACACTTTCACAAAAAACATATAATGCTCAAATTTTTGCTCGCTCGTTTCGCTCACAAGCAGAATTGTGAACTAGAAAATAATCGGGCAAGAGGCTTTAGCCCCCCCCCCCCCCCCAGATGAAAATGTCAAAAAAATGTATATCTTAAAAACGGGGAATGTTGATATCGGACAAGAGACGTGAAGTGAGCTTGCTCCCCTTTCCAAAATTGTTCCTGCTTCTAGGTACCCGTATCGTGCTTCTAATATGACCTTGTCAGTATTGGTTTGTTGAGTTGAAAAAACGGTCTGCGCATTTTTCAAATTTCCGTCCCCCCCAATTGGAAAATTCTGGATCCGCGCCGGGGCGTACTGATGGGGAGGGGGGGGGAGCTCGGGGGATCGGTAGATACTGGGCTTAGGTCCAATTGTCAGGTCCAATTCCGCTCAGTAATTTGTAGGTCCATAAGTCCTAATAAAAATTACTTTCTACAAAAACATTATTTTCGTATAAACAATTACTAGTTTCTTAAATAGCAAGCTAAAATGGATAATGGGCCTGCTTGGCGTACTTAATATCTCAGTGGCGTAGCCTGGATAAGATCAGTCGGGGGCAGGGTGATGGGGCAAGATTTCCAACAAGGAGGAAAATTTACGATAGGATTACATGTGTGTTATGTTTTACTTTTTTTTCGTCACCACATGAGCGGGGGTTGGCTCTATATAATTATCAAAGATAACAGATAAAATATAGTTACTTTATAAAGAGACAACTATTCAGGGCTATATATCGCCCCCCTACAGGACCAGGAACGTAGCCGAGGGGGGGGGGGCGTATTATGAATAGCGAACCTCATTTCGTATCATGAATAGCGACCGTCTACTCCTATTATGAATAGCGACCCTCTTCTTCTATTATGAATAGCGACCCTCTTCTCCTTTTATGAATAGCGACCCTCTTCTCCTATTATGAATAGCGACCCTCTTCTTCTATTATGAATAGCGACCCTCTTCTCCTATTATGAATAGCGACCCTCATTTCTTATTATGAATAGCGACCCTCTACTCCTATTATGAATAGCGACCCTCTACTCCTATTATGAATAGCGACCCTCTTCTTCTATTATGAATAGCGATCCTCTTCTCCTATTATGAATAGCGACCCTCTTCTCCTATTATGAATAGCGACCCTCATTTCTTATTATGAATAGCGACCCTCTACTCCTATTATGAATAGCGACCCTCTTCTTCTATTATGAATAGCGATCCTCTTCTCCTATTATGAATAGCGACCCTCATTTCTTTTTATGAATAGCGACCCTCTACTCCTCTTATGAATAGCGACCCTCTTCTTCTATTATGAATAGCGACCCTCTTCTCCTTTTATGAATAGCGACCCTCTTCTCGTATTATGAATAGCGACCCTCATTTCTTGTTATGAATAGCAACCCTCTACTCCTATTATGAATAGCGACCCTCTTCTTCTATTATGAATAGCGATCCTCTTCTCCTATTATGAATAGCGACCCTCATTTCTCTTTATGAATAGCGACCCTCCACTCCTATTATGAATAGCGACCCTCTTCTTCTATTATGAATAGCGACCCTCATTTCTTATTATGAATAGCGACCCTCTACTCCTATTATGAATAGCGACCCTCTTCTTCTACTGTGAATAGCGACCCCCTTCTTCTATTATGAATAGCGACCCTCATTTCTTATTATGAATAGCGACCCTCTTCTCCTATTATGAATAGCGATCCTCTTCTCCTATTATGAATAGCGACCCTCATTTCTTTTTATGAATAGCGACCCTCTACTCCTATTATGAATAGCGACCCTCTTCTTCTATTATGAATAGCGACCCTCTTCTCCTATTATGAATAGCAACCCTCTTCTCCTATTATGAATAGCGACCCTCATTTCCTATTATGAATAGCGACCCTCTTCTCCTATTATGAATAGCGACCCTCATTTCTTATTATGAATAGCGACCCTCTTCTCCTATTATGAAGAGCGACCCTCTTCTTCTATTATGAATAGCGACCCTCTTCTCCTTTTATGAATAGCGACCCTCATTTCTTATTATGAATAATGACCCTTATGAATAATAACCCTTACGAATAACGACCCTCATTTTGCATTATGAATAGCGACCCTCATTTTGAATTATGAATAGCGACCCTCATTTCGTATTATGAATAGCGACCCTCTTTCTGTGTTATGAATACCGGCCCTTTTGTAATATTATGAATAGGGACCCTTATGAATAACGACCCCGTTTCCCTATTATGAATAGCGACCCTCTTCTAATATTATGAATACCGACCCTCTTCTTTGATTATGAATAGCGGTCCTTACGAATAATGACCCTTATGAATAATGACCCTTTTCTCCAATTATGAAAAGCGGACCTTATGAATAGCGGTCCTTATGAATAATGGACCTTATGAATAGCGGACCTTATGAATAGCGGTCCTTATGAATAGCGACATTGACCCTAACGCTTTTCAGGACCGAAGGCCCTCTCGAAGCGCTTCACAGTTAATTACCCCGGTCATCGGATTCAGGCTTACCCGCACAAAATATATGCACATTCTCTACTCCCTGGGGAAGCATTCCAGCCAGGCGTCATTTAAATGACATTCACGTTCATTGTTTAATATCATGAAGTGCTCGGAAAATAGCGATTAAAATAGCCGAGTGGTCTTTTCATAATCATTAAACAAATGATTATTAAATGATTTGAGATGTTCATTCTCATCTACATTTTCTCACATACCGGTCATTACCAAGGACTTTTAACAATGAAAGTAAAGACAGTATGAAATAAACATACGTTTTTTGTTTGTCCTTTTTTCATATAAATCGGTAAACCCAGGTGTATTGTACTAAGTGTGCATATTCAGCTTGGCCAAAAATTGAACACATGTTTAAAATCAAAACATGATAACGATCATCGATTTAATATCAGAAGACATCATAATAGGATCAGCGACGATGCTACAGACTTAGTACATGAGGCACATGCCACCCTCCCCATTATAAAGAAAAAGAAAACGGGGAAAGGAGAGAAAGTGGAAGGAAGAAGGAGAAATGTGAGTGGAACGAGGAAAGAAAGAAGATCTGTTGTGAAACTAAAGCGGAAGATCACACGGCCTTTCGTAGATTTGCAGTAGGGTTATCGCATAGTGTCATTTGGACCAAACCATTTGTAGATGAGAGGGGTCTATTTCACGCATATTAACCCCATACCTTTCGTGAATAAAAGGACATGTTTTTACCAAAGGTAGGGTAACTCGACCACCCCACCCGTCGTGATGGCACGATGATTCAAAGTAAGCCCAATCTAAGTGGGCCAAAGTGCAGATTATCGTAAAGCCCCTCCGCACTTGTAAACTAATCGCTCCCTCTATATAGAAAAAAAATCCTAAGCGGAGCCCAAAGGTCCCCCATATCCTAATTTTATTATGTTAATTGAGAGCTGAGTTGATGAGATGACCATCTGTCGGTGACCATGCTTGGAGGTCTAATCCGTCATGGCCAAACTATTGCAGACAGGCTTTAACGTCTCACCTCGGTTGCTTTAGACTCTGATCGGCATGCTACAATGACCTTTGCCCCTGCTTGAGCTAGTGCCTTGGCCGTCTCATATCCAATCCCTGACAGAATACAAACAGAAGGCAATCATTAAAGGTAATACAAAGTTTTTGGACATTTTGAAAATTGGGTGGATAGTGATTCCTTACAATTTGATATATTTAGACGCCCCTGCCGATGTTTTGTAAGCACCAGACGGTCAATCCCCTAAAAAACTTCTGTTTTCGAGAAAAATTGAATATAAAAATTTACCGGTGCTCCCATTTTGATAAATTTCAAATAGCGCCTAATGCCGTTCAATGATAGCTGCGACCATGAAATGTTCAGAATATGTAGTTGTGATATATAATTTCAAACGGGAATAGCTAATCGGTCGATTTTAGTCAAGAAACATTATTTTATAGCTTGATCAATATCTTGAACTTGAGAGGGAGCTATACAACATGAAGAGTTTATTATTTATAGTTTCATAACTTTAGCCTCGATTTCAACCGCGACAACGATCACTGAATATTGTAGGATTGCGAATGCTTCCATTATCTTCATTTTAACCAAATTCGTGAACCCATACCAAAACGTTGTATTACCTTTAATCAATGTGTTGATATTGAAAACAAAATACCTGTGTGTGTAGAACTAGTCAGTGAAATACGAGAGAAAAAATGGTCATTATACACCCTTTTACAGTCAAGGCCGCCATTTTAATTTGCGAGTAAACATTGCGTCATCGATGATGCGCATGTACTGTTGCGTCACTGCCTGCGCTGTGCGCTCACACCATACTGAATATTTAATTACTAAACTATTACTTAATTTAAGATGGCACCTTTTACGGTTACAAGAGTGCGCATGCGCTGACGTTAAATTACGAGTAAACAAAGTTCTTTACTTATAATTTAAAATGGCGCCTATGTCAATATGATGTGAGCGCACAGCGCAGGCAGTGACGCAACAATAGATGCACATCTGAAAATATTGATGACGCAATGTTTACTCAGAAATTAATTTGGCGGCCTTAACAGTGAAAGGGTGTAATGTAGTTCTGGCCTCGCAGCACAAATGCGACGACACGTACAGAACTGTTATTCTGTAAATGTAGACCTATATGTACTTGGCAATGACTCATAGTCTAGAGAATTCAATTTCGTTTGTTTAGCTGTTCACTAAGGCCTGAATTCACAAAGGAGGTTTGTCGACACACCTTAGTTTGCGTACGTCATATGACGCGTTTTTACGCGTTTTTTTACAAACCTGGTTTGTAAAGAACAAAAGGAGGTTTGGCGAAACAAAAGGAGGTTTGTGGACAAACCTCCTTTGTGAATTCGGGCCTTAAAGTATGGTTCACACAGCGAATCCTTGCCATGGCTGTAACCACCCATTTAGTATTACCTCATTTATTTATACCATGAATGTTGACGTATACAGAATTGGTGAATAATGTATTGAGTGGTATAATAATAATATTCAGCTTTTATATAGCGCTGAATACATCTACGATGTATTGACACCCCCCCCCCCCAAATACATTATAAATGAATAACATTAAGAAAATTGTCGGAAACCAATTTTTTTTCTATTCACAACGGTACGGCCCATAGTATCCTGCGTATGGTTGGTCCAAAGCCACATGTCTCTCTTTCTGTCATATTAACCTCATATGATAGATTTTATGTAGATCATTGTATTTCTGAATTTGGCTATTGAAATAGCTTTAAATCGAAAATACTCCCTTTCGAATAGATATAAAGGCATCTAGTTTGGTGTTTTTTCTCAAACTGAAAAGGTAAAATTTATTAAAAAATAAAAGACATGTAGCTAAAGAGAATGAAAATAGAAAAAATGTATCTTTTGAAATCAGTGATGTGCAATATCTTACCTGTATTTGCTCCTGTTACAACGATCGTCTTATCAACAAGATTGACCTCTGGAAGACTAGGTTGTGACCCCATTGTGACCTTTGACATTAAATGTACGATTTGGGAATAAAAGTGATACTGATTTGACAATAACAATCACTACGATGCTGATGAAAATGTTATTCTAAAGTACTCGAATTGTGGATATATTTATCAACCAAAACCACAACCGAGGAATAAATAAACGAGTGGACAATTTGAGGTATTTTCAACAAAGCCGTTGAAGCAAAGATCACATGAGTATGTTACTTTTCTTTCTTTCAGTGAAATATAAAGTTACTTGTAGGGGCGGAGTGTGATATGCCTTATATGCCACCATTATCAGAGTCAACGTTCAGTTGAAAGAAAATTAGATCAGAATTAATTTCCTTCAGGCTTCATCCACCTCCCCTTCTCTCTCTCTCTCTCTTTCTCTCTCTCTATCTATTTTGTATACATACTTGTATGTCACAATCTTTTCAGAACATTATTTTAAAATTGACAGGAAGTTTACTCTTTGTCTTCTTTGTTTGTCTTTCTTTCTTCTTTTCTTCTATTCTTCTTTCGTCTTCATGTCGAAACACATGTATTGCAAATGTAGAACGAACAAATTAGGAGAAGGTAGATTTGGGGTCATATCATGTTAAACAATAGCGCCGATTGTCAAAACAAGAGTAACAGCAACCACATTATCTAAACTTAAACTAGCAGAAGTAGTGTGCTAGCTTTAATAAGCTATTTGCCAATTACTGCAAGCTTTATGCCAAATTTTAAGAAACCAAATATACTCCAATATACAGACAAAATGAAATATCTTCATGAATTAAATCACATGCCATTAATAACTTGAACTACAGTTAGATGAACTAGACGAGTGTTAACTACTATAGGTACCGATATATAAATAGGATATGTGTTTGATATATAGATTTATGTTTGCTACTCATCAAATATGGACACAATGTCACAAACGAGAATAAACCAATCACTCATCCATTATATGATATGAGAGATATTCCCTTGCATTCGATCGGCATATTGCATGGGAAATCGCACGCATACACAAGGACGGCAATGCTCTGCACTTTGAACACAAGAATTGAAAACATACATAGATATGTGTTTGCTAGCCATCACAAATGTCAGACAATGTCGCTCATCCATTATATGCGAGGTATAGAGTGGTGAAGTGTGACCTCATCAAAAATCTATTTTTAGAATTTCTCCAAAAAAAATCTTCATTTTCCGGAAGAGCATCAAAGTAATGTCCAATGTTCACTATTGGCTGAGATATGACCATCTGAATAAATAGATTTCCTATAGGAACTCGGTGTTAAATTGCTCTGGCTCGTAATATTATGAACCAGAGCAATATAACACTGAGTTCCTGTAGGAAAACTGTTTATTCACATGTTCATATCTCAGCCAATACATAACATATCCAATTGGTTTTCGATATATGGATATCATTTTTGATGCTCTTTCGGAAAATAAAGAAAAAATTGGAGAAAAAAGGTATATTTTTATGATTTCACAGCTTTGGTACTCTATACTCTCTCGCATTCGATCGGCATATTGCATGGATATTCGCACAATGTGCACAATGACGGCAACGATCTGCACTTTCTACACACCTGTATATGCTACATAAAATTACCAAGTGCTATACTTCATGCTGGTCTATATGTAAAAAACTCAGAGGATAATTATACTCACAGTCACAAAAATATTATGCACCACTGTTGTTGTTGTTGGTTGTAGTTTTTGCGTTCAGTCAAGTTTGACTATTTACGCCTAGTCTGATTCTTTAGTTTAATCAACTGATTATGCACAATGCACGGCAGAGTACAGACGACTTCTACAAGCTGTTGCGCAATCCCACCTATACGCTTTCGAGGGATGTAGATTCGTGAACTCGAGGATCTGTAGATTAATATATGTGTGAATGATGCATACTATAATCGTGCGAGGTTGCATAGAAATGCAGGATTTTACGGAAATGGCTATGGCTGTAGATATGTAGATAGCTGTAGACAGATATCTATTTAGACCTAAAAAAAAAAAAAAAAACGGAAAACCAAAAAATATATATACTCACTCAATCAGCAATACGTACAGTATATTAGCAGGAGAATGACTCGACATTAATACCCGCGCATGTATAATCGACCGCGTACACTATACATCAAAGCAGTATTGACTGATTTTATTTGTTCAGATCATATTCTCGTATTTCTATAGTTCGTTGACCCGGCAGAAATACAAGTCTACTCATACTCAAATATTGGTGTATTGACGCATCTCTCGCAAAGGTGGTGAGGTGACGAGAGTGGGGTCTCCTCCCCCCCCCCCCCATCCCCCCCCCCCCAATTACCCCCCCCCCCCCCCCACACACACACACACACACACACACAAAAAAAAAAAAGCAGAAGAAGGAAAAAGAAAGAAAAAGTTCCATGCCAATGAGAAAAAGAAAAAAAAAGGAAAAGAAAGAAAGAAGGAAATAGAAATTCATAAAAATAAGAGAAAGAAAGACGAGATATAAAATTTCCAAGCCTTGTCACTTTAATAGTCTGATTTTCAGACCATTGTACTGAATGGTTGTACGTTTTGTGCTGCACAAAGATTCAATCAGTTTAAGTTTGGCCATTACAAGAAGTGGGTTATTGATGTAGACAAATGCATGTACCCTTTACAGCTCATGATATGTATGTTATTACCAAAGAAGAAAAAAGACAGTCAGTCACTCAATAGTGTCTGACAGTCAAGAAAACGGGTTTCCTTGCATGATTTGAATATTAGGATACAACTAACGTTATAATTTCACAGATAGGACATACATTACAAATTCATAATTCCTGCAAAGTTCTATATAAATTGATGTTGACTGCAAAAGGGGACATAGTATCTTTAAAGGGAGTATCTCACTGAGCGGCGAATGCTTATGAACGTTGCGAATTTTTGATGTTACGATCAAAAAGAACTTCAGCGATTGTAAGACGGTGTTGCTGAAGTTCTTTTTGATTCGCCAATGCTAGCGACCATCTTATGGTTCCTATATAAAATCGACCCATTGAGTACCAGGCAGGAGTTAGCCCCGGGAGTTAGCAAAATGTCCCTAACATTCGCAAATAGTTGCTAATCTCCGCAAAAACTGTCGCTAACATTTGCTTACAGTCGCTAATAATCGCCAACTGCCTTTCACAAACACTTTCGCAAACATTCGCTCAAATGTTGCTAATTGCCGCTAAACATCGCTAAAAGTCGCTAAATGTCGCAAAGGCGAACCCTGCTTTTCGCCAACATAGGTCATAAAATTTGGCGAATCCAAAAATAGCAACGTTCGTAAACATTCGCCGCTCAGTGAGATAAGACCCTGATTTTTGTTTTGTTCACATGATTGTCAGAAAATGTTTTTTACCAGATAACATCAACTTGTATCTGAAAATGTGATAAATCCTATTTTTGTCTTCCTGTCACAGTATTCTGAGAAAGGCGCGTAATATTTTCTTCCTCTTCTTCTTTTAATGCCTTTTCTTTTTTTTTTCTATCATGGCTTCATATTTTTCCTTCTTTCATCCATCCTTCTTTCTTTCTTTGTCTTTTTTCAATTGTTTTCCGTTCTTTTCTTTGTGAAGATACAAAATGGGGCGAAATAATGATGATTTCCAATCCACGGAAAACGATTATCTCCTGCATTTTTTAATTTGTATATGATTTGTCAACTTCATGCAGGCCCTATGTGTTTTTAGAGGTATAATTATTCAATTGATTATATATTGTGATATATGATTATATTTTTAATTTTGTTGATAATAATTATGTACCTAGTTAGTTTTTTTAATTTAGAAATAAAATCAGACAAACAATATGCCTTTCAATCACCCTCCCTCTTATTTCTCTCTCTCTCCCTCCATCCCTCTCTCTCTCTCATCATCTCCCCTCCCTCCCTCTTCTTCTCTTCTCCTCCCCCTTTCTTTCTCTTTCTCTCGCTCTCCCCTCCCTTCCCATCTCCTCCTCTCCCTACCTCTCTCTCTCTCTCTGCCTCTCTACAACACATACACACATTCAGTATTCCTGCACCGATTGTTCTTTTTTTCTCAACTCCGTTCTTTCTCTCCATCTGCAATCCAATGGGATTTTGTCCAACATTCATCTTTTCACATAAAGTACTCTCTGATTCCTACTATCGTTTTCAGTTATGCATTGTTTTATTTCTCCTCTATGCCATTGTGCCCTTTTTCTCATCTCGACAGTTAATTCAGTTACTATATATGATTTCCCGGTGAAATTCGCAGTTTGTCATTCGAATTCATATACTTTGCATTTAAGTTAGCGCAGATCGGCTTTGCCATGCCAATTATCATTCAATTTTCCCGTTTTGGTAGTTCATTCATGATTTTGGTCGAAGGGTTTCATAAATATACATGCCATTTAATTTAAAAAGTACTCAACGAGCATTCAAATTAATCATCACTTGTCGCGGCGTTAACACCTGTCATTCGTATTCGAAATATGTTTATTGAGGGGGGGGGGGTGAATTCATGCCGTGAAATGAATCGTCTTCTTTCTCGAATAATTTAATGAGACGTCAAAGCTTCCGCGATTTCCTGCACCCACCCCCTGTAAATAATTTGCACGGTTTGCGTGCTTACTACCGGCCCCTAAAATAAAATCCTAGCTACGCGTTTGCTATAATACTTATATTTTTTCAAAGTTTGTAGACATTGGCATTGATATATTTGTCGGTAATTGGTGGCTAGTTTTGTCGATAATTTGTTGCCTCTTCACCCCCTCCCCCCCCCCCCCCCCCCCGCCAATGAAAAAGGTCTAGCGACGCCTTAGCTTTCAGGCTCCTTGTATTTCAAAATTCCCACTCATTTTCATCCCAACACTTGACAATTGTGAACAACATTACTATTCTGGGTTCTTGTTCATGTTCTTGATTGGCCGTTAAATCAAATTTAAAAGAAGAAAGATGAATCTGGGTTCAAAAGTGTAGGTCTATATATTGCACATTGAATTTTTTTTTCCATGCAGTCGAGAAATAGATTGGTAAGAAAACGGGGCACGTATTGAATTTAGGCTACGATGTCTTCCTCATCAACACTGTCGTTGTCTTCCTCCTCAGAACTTGAGACGGACTCGCTGGAGCTGAAGCTGTCGCAGGGCCCCTCTTCAGAACTGGAGCTGGACCTGGAGCATTCGATGTCCTCCTCATCAACACTGTCGTTGTCGTCCTCTTCGGAACTTGAGACGGACTCGCTGGAGCTGACGCCGTCGCAGTCTCCCTCTTCAGAACTGGAGCTTGACCTGGAGCAGTCGTCGTCTTGAGCTACCACTGTGTTGATTGCCAGGCATGTCAAGCCCAACACCATAAGGACTAGTACGGCTGTCTTCATGATTGTTTCTGTATGAGGAACAAACAAGGGATACTTTTTTCTTCTTCTTCATTATATAATATTATATACAACTTGCGAATTCATCAAGAATGAACCGTGTGCATACTATTGCGGAACTCGTTACTGAAATCTTATAAGTCATGTCAATATTTATAGAAGAAGAGTTGACTAGTGTAAAAAAAAAAAAAAAAAAAAGTTAAATGCGTATTACAAATATATATGTGATGGTGCTAGAGTTAGAACAAGGGTAACTTAGTTTGAAGAAGGGGAAAGTAATTCCAAATATTATGTTTTAGGTTTAGATACAAGAAACGGTGCAAAACGATCCATCTCTTGTCTAAGGATTTGGGGGATAGTTGGAGTACGACAAGGACAAAATCTTAACGTGTATTGAGAAGTTTTACTCAAGACTATATAGGTCAAATGAGTGTAATGGAGAATTAATATATTCATACATGACATAAGTAGAAATACCCCGTCTAATAGTCACGAGGCAGATGCATACGAAGGGCTCGTTACAATGAAAGAGATACTGAAGCGATAACAAGTATGAAACATAATAAAGCACCAGGGGTCGACGGTTTAAGTGTAGAATTTGATAAAGAATTTTGGTCAGAAGTAAATGATCTGGTTCTTCATAGTTTAAACGAGGCATTTGAGAAATGACATTTAAGCTATTCACAAAGGAAAGGCGTTATTACGTTATTTTTTAAATGTGGAGATAAACAGGAACTTGAAAATTGGAGTCCAATAACTCGTTAAAATATAGACTACAAGATGTTAGCAATGGTCTTGGCTAAAAGATTACTAAATGTGTTAGCAGATATTATTATTGAAGATCAAGTAGGAATTTAAAGGGTCGAAGCGGTATTTATAATGCTAGACTAGTTCAAGATGTGGTTGACTACCATAATTTAACGGTATTTCATACAGACTTTAGAAAAGTTTTTGGCTCGTTGGAATGGATATACATTGACAAGTGTTTGCAGTTATTAGGCAATCCTTTCGGCAATGGATTGAATTGTTATTTTCAAATCCAATGAACTGGGTAATAGTATATTTGTAACAAAAATATTTGGCAAGGTTGTCCCCTGTCTGACCTACTTTTTATCCTGAGTGTCGAAGTTTTAAGCAATAGAATAAGACAGAATATATATATTAACGGTATTACTATCGGGAAAAAAACAATACAGAAATTAAATTTGTACAAGACGTTAAATCTGGAAGAAAGGGAATACAAGTTATTGAAAACTTTGAAAGGGTATCGGGAATATATTTAAATACTAATAAACCTAAAACTCTATGGTTGGGTAAATCTCCTCCCTCAGAGACAATAAAGAATATAAGTTGGTGTGATACTTTTGTTAAATCTCTGGGTATATACTTCAGTAAGAATACATCTTCAGTATGAATATGAATTGGTCTCAAGAAAGATTCATTAAAATACAACAGCTTTTACATTCTTGGAAATGGAGGAATATGACATTAAAAGGAAAAGTACTTATTTTTAAAAGTCTTGTGATTACAAAACTGAATTATACAGTCTAAGTTTTATCGTGCACTATGGAATGGATGAAAGCATATGAAAAATAATGTTATAATTGTTATTGGGTAATAGAGCAAACGTGAAAGAGGAAAACATGATAAATACTCTTCAAAATGGAGGTATGAATATGGTTGACATGTGTACACAATTTATGTCGCTACGAATAAAATGGTTGTTTAGCTTCCTAAGCTTTAAAGAACTCCAAGAAAAGAAAGGGAAATGGAGTTTTGTTTTGTTTTGAGTAGTGGATTGAAAAACTAGGAGGGATTGATATCATTATGAATTGTAAATGTTTACCAAAATATGTGACTTCTTATAGACGAAAAATATCTGATTTCTATTGTAATTTACTTTGTACGTGGTTTACAGTAAAGTAAGTAAATTATCTAAAAGATTTACAATCTGCTTTCAAGTAAATACAGATATATAATTTCGTTTGATCTCATTCAAACATGTGATTAAGTGCTTTGTTCTGAATATTTATTTAAGATGTTAGCTGTGATTTTATCTGAATAAAGATTTATTTCAATAAACAAACAAAAAACAAAAAAAAAATAAGTATGGACAACTTGAACTATTTCTGCACGGTCAGAATGCGATGACTTCTACCGATGTTTTCTGAACTTTAAACATGTACACAATTACAAACTGTGTTAATGACTTCATTGGTACAGAAACAATGAGTTTCTTTGTATAAATACATCCTATGAATATTAATAAATCTGAAATATCTGCAAGATACAAATCAAAATAGCTACCAAATTTATCTGTCTTAAACTGTAAATCATTAGGAAACAAGACCCTAAATTGTGTTAACTCGCTTCGCTCACCCTCAAATAGGCCTACCTATAAAGTAATTGAACACCAGCGTTATTATTCGAAATAAGAATCATCCCAAAACTACAAATTACAAAAAGAAAATATTTAAAAAAAGAAACGTCTACCTCCCCTGATGTACAAATACCTCGCTGTCAGAACATGATTTAAAATTAAAATCCGTTTCCAAAATGAATGTTGCAAGAAAAAGCACTAAAGAATTATCAAAATCATATTATACTTACAATTATTAGTAGACTTGGAAGCTCGATTCAAAGTACTGTGGCTGTATTTGAATTATGATGAAATTATGTTAATTATTCGATAGATATACATTTAAGAGCGTCTCACGATTTATATATTTAATAAGATTTATTGAAATAATATTGTGTAAATAGAAAAGCAAATTGCATTAAATACTGTTGTTATACCCCTAAAACCCCTTTGTGAAATAGGACTTTCATAATTTCCACCCTTATTCATAATGAATGGCCGTACAGAGGATTTTTTTTCCTGTTGAGGACCGGAGGAAAATGCAATGAATTATTGATCATTTTTTTTTTCCTTTTCTCTTTGTTTTCCTTTTTTTTTCTTTGGGGGGCTGCCCCTTTTACCCTAGCCCCCGCCGCGTAAGGTTATGATTTAGTGGCAAAGCAATGGCTTGGTAACTGTGAGGCCCCAGGATCAGAACCGTGTCGATGTGATATACAAGTGCCCTTTTGTGAGGCATTACTGTCAGTTTTGACTTAAGGGCGTAAGTCCACTTTTATTAGCTGATAAGCATAGTAACGCACTTGCTTTAGCAGTCACGCAAAACAAACACTCGCAAATTATTGTTCAATAACATCTGAGAATATACACTATTATCTAGATCTATTGGGAATAAATTCTTGTCAAAATCATTCTAAAAATTTGGGATAAACAAAATTACTCCACCTTTATGACCAACAATGTATTTCTATATTGTTCTATCATTATACTCGACAAACTTGTTGATATTTTTTTTTTATTTTTTGTGGTTTGAATTCCATTTAATAACTCTCTGAAACTCTTCTGCACCATAACTGCCTGTGAATGATACATAATTCAGCATTACAACATACAGATCTGAACTGCATGTAGTTTTACTCATTTTCCAAAATCTAATTTTTGTAACCGTGCAAAACGCTTTCTATAATTGAGCGGGCATATAATCCTAATGGAAGAACTCACCTCTAGGTGTTGTCAGGTCTAAGGAAATTATCGATGTCTGTAGGTGATCCTCTCTTAAGCTGCTATCAATTCAATTGGAGACCGTCGACTTATAGTTGTTCCTTAATGATCTAGCTCTATAAATTTTGATCAAATTGTTCTACCCTTTGCCACTTATACTATGAAGAAACATATGGTATATTAATTTTAAATTCATAATTAAATATTTACATATTCTAACCTTCGCATTTTATCTTATTTACATATTTACATATATTTATACATTTACTACACGATATTACTTTATCTCACATGTCCTTGTACAACATATGTTCTTTTAAAGCCTTTACAAAAAACAAAAAAAGTTTGTTACAAGGCGAAATCAACAGAAGTAAATTCATATAATTTTTATCTCCATCTATAATTACCTAGCATATAGATTGCCTATTTGGATATGCGTCAGCATATGGAAGGCACAGCCTTGGTTTCCAACTCTTCTTCGCATATCAGTTGCCCCACCCCTGCTTCTTCCGGTAGGCTGTCTATGCCCAAACAATCACCCGATACCGACCTTGCATCCAGCCGTTCGGATTGTCTGGGGTCTGTTTCATAAAACTTGTTATCTATAATAAATGCTAAATTTCTATGACAAATTTGCTCTTAGCCAATCAGATGCCTTGACTTCAGTAGCTTATAACAGTAGCTTGTAACTTGTTAATGATATCATGTTTTATGAAACGGTGCCCTAGTGATAGGGAACCCCTAAACAATATGAAACCGCATGGAAACAATGGTTTAATTGGTGTTGCAAACAAAAAATTGATTCATGCTTTCCTACTATAGTTGATGTCATTAATTTTCTTGCAGGCGAACACTCCTCTGGTAAACCTTATTCTACTATCAATTCTTCTATCTATCTATCTATCTAAGTATCTTCTCCCGTTTGGGAGGTTGATTGCAACATCTCTCCATTTCACTTTTTCTGCCATTCTGGTGTACTCTTGCCGTTTTAGTCCACTCAAGTTCTTGACATTCTTTTCCCAGTTGATTCTGGGTCTCCCTCTAGGTCTACTTCCTTCAACTCTTCCTTCCAATACATCCTCTCTCTTTCCCCATCCCTCTCTCTCTCTCTCTTTCCCCATCCCTCTCTCTCTCTCTCTCTTTCCCCATCCCTCTCTCTCTCTCTCTTTCCCCATCCCTCTCTCTCTCTCTCTCTTTCCTCCAGCTTCTCCCTCTCTCTCTATTCTCTTCCTAGTCCCCCCCCCCCCTCTCTCTCTCTCTCTATCTCTCTGTCTCTCTACAACACATACACCCACATTCAGTATCCCTGCACCGATTGTTCTTTTTTCTCAACTCCGTTCTTTCTCTCCATCCGCAATCCAATGGGATTTTGTCCAACATTCATCTTTTCACATAAAGTAGTACTCTCTGATTCCTACTATCGTTTTCAGTTATGCATTGTTTTATTTCTCCTCTATGCCATTGTGCCCTTTTCACTCATCTCGACAGTATAATTCAGTTACTATATAGGATTTCCCGGTGAAATTCGCATTTTGTCATTCGAATACATTTACTTTGCATTTAAGTAAGCGCAGATCGGCTTTGCCATGGCAATTATCATTTAATTTCTCCGTTTTTGTATTTCATTCATGAATTTGGTCGAAGGGTTTCAAAGATTAAATGTCATTTAATTTACAAACTGCTCAACGAGCATTCAAATTAATCATCACACGTCGAGGCGTTAATACCAGTCATTCGTATTCGAAATATGTTTATTTAAGAAAGGATCGATGGCTCAAGACTTGGCTACATAATGAATCATGCTCAAATTGTGTGACTTTAGTCCCTACCACAGTCACAATATTGTACCCTTCCTCCATAATGAAATAATATAAATTTATGATGAAACACAAGACAAACTAAATCCTTACATGAAAATTTACATACATATTGAGACCATTAAATCCGTATATGCAAGTCGTATTTTTCTCTTCTTAACAATCAAACCTAAATACTGATGAATATCAGATAACTCTAATAAGTAAATTAGTGTATAATGCAAGAAAATTAAATATGATGAAAAACACATGAACAAAATCTTGAAAGAAAAAGAATGAGCTATGAAAAATGTGTTTAATAAACGAGAAATGTGTATTGACCATCAATTTAAAGCGATTGTTGAGTTCTGTTGCAGAGGGCGCTAAACAAAATATTTATTTGAGATAATGAAAAACTGAGAGTCAAATTTGAAAGAACATAATATTTAAATGACAAAATCATCTTTGTGTGATCAAAATCGGTTCAGACACGGCTAAAATATAACGATTGCTAATACCTGTGTACCACCAGAAATATTAAAGATTTTGAGAAATTTGAAGAAAAAAAAAACGTTTATAAAAACGAAATAACGCCTTTTACGTCGTATTCCAGCCAATGCCGAAGTTGGGTTTTTAGTTGGCATTTTCGTGTTGCTTTTATTACGCACAACCAGCCAGCCCACGTATTGTTGTTCTTAATTAAATAATTAACTAACGGTCACCGTGTTTTTGTAATTACTTAGCATATAAATTGCCTATTTTTATATGGGTCAGCATATGGAAGACGAAGCCTTGGTTTCCAACTCTTCTTCACAATATGCATGTGGCACCTGTTCTACACATTTGTACATAATAGCAGTGAAGGGATGTTCCTTTGTCTACCTGAGGAACTGTATATTTTGTCCGCTTTCTTTGTCTGTCATGTTCATAGTGTCATCGTAATCGCAGTTCCACGGTGAACTGTTTATGCTCGCTTCTCTGGCTCCTCCAGGCATGATTCTGGCTCTGTGGATTCGCAAACCTGCACTGCGCATGCTCATTGACCCCATTTAATAGCGTTAACAAATGATTGTGCGTTTATGCTTCCCTAGAATCGCCGATCCAAAACGCACCTTTTTGTGACTTTACGATCGGCGTTTACGATCGCCGTTTTTCGGTGTTTCTACAAAAATGAGAAAGGACGCAACCGTGTTTTGAACTAAACGCGTAACAAATGCCTAATTCTGGCCAGAAAAAGTTAGGCATACACGTACCCTCTGAAATGCCTGCATTCCATCGTCGACTGAAACAATCCGATCGGCTGGATGCAAGGTCGATATCGGTTGATTGTTGGGGCATAAAAAAACTACCGGAAGAAGCAGGGGTGGGGCGACTGATATGTGAAGAAGTCAATAGTCAATAACTGTAAATGTAAAAATGTGAAGAACAGGCGAATATGCATGTGACACCTGCTCTACACATTTTTACATAATAGCAGTGAAGGGATGTTCCTTTTCTACCTGAGGAACTGTATATTTTGTCCGCTTTTTTTGTCAGTCAGATTCATAGTGTGAGCGTTTTAAATCGCTCATTACGTGCCTTTAAAGTTGAGCATAAACGCACCCCAAGTCAGCTACCAACCTACTCGCCCTGTCCTGGTGACACGGAATCTCTAAATAATATGAAACCGCATGGAAACAAAGGTGTAATTAGTTTGGTAAACAAAAAGTTGATTCATGCTCGCCTACTATAGTTGATGTCATTAATTTCTTTGCAAGCGAACACTCCTCTGGCAAACCTTATTCTACTATACAGATCAGCATTATCTTCAGTTAGTCTTCCAATTGAGGGGCATTCAGTGGGTCAACACAGGAATTTAAAATCAAAATCCGCCTAAGCCTAAATACTGTACCACGTGGGATGTTCCTCTTGATTTGAATTACATAAGATTTTTACCAGCCAATCAACAGTTGACCTTGCCCCAATTAAGTCAGAAGCTTTTGTCCTTAATCAGTCAGACCGCAGCGAGTGCGATAATGAGACTGTAAGCTGATTTATATTCAGCGTCTCGTTGTCAATCGCGTAACATTTGCGTGTGCTGAAATTCACGAGATTTCCAGTAAGAAAAGTACATGGTTATTGCTGTTATTCTTATCTATGATATTTCTAGTGCCCTTTTAAAACCTACAATTGCTATGAAGGTATTTGTATACCCCAAAATGTTTGAAATTTAGCAAATACGATCATACCAATTCAGCTCCACTTTCCTAACAATATGGTGACCGTTATTTCATTATTAAAATAACAATACATGGGACTGTTGATTGTGCGTATTAAATATAACCCACACGAAAATGACAACAAAAAGTCAAAATCATCATTGACTGAAATACAACGTAAAAGGCGCTATTTCTTTTTTCAACGGCTTTTTCAAAGTATCTAATATTTGTGGTGGTACACTAGTATTAGAAATAGTTACTTTTATGGATATTTAAGCCGTCTCCGATCCGATTTTGATCAAACAAAGAAGATTTTGTCATTTACATTGTATGTTCTTTCATATTTGACACTCAGTTTTTCATTATCTCACAACAAAATTATTGTGTGTAGCGCCCTCTGCAACAGAACTCAACTATCCCTTTAAGCATTCAGAAATGCTTCAGAATGTACCATAAATCGTCTTAAGGTTCAAATGTTCATGTCCCCCCCCCCCCACCCCCTTTCAGAAAATCCTAGACCCACCCCTGTTTACAGATATACTATTACCCTGGTCTACGGATTCGGGCTTTAAATTCCCGCATTCAATGTATGCAGGGGAGACAGCATTCAAGCCAGGGGCCAATTAGCAGACGCTCACAACCCTAAGCAAACCGCAGTGACATTCACATCCTATCGGGTACCAGTTTAGCACACGGCCGGCAATGTTGTCGCAATGTGTTTCCTTTTGTAGTCTATTTTTTAGTAGGCCCAGCGAAATTAGTACAGGCTGGAGAGTGGCAGAGAGGATTCGAACCCTTAACCTATTGGACTGTGATCCCGTGAATGTACCAGGATACCTCCATTATTATGGTATCATATCATCGGTATGACATAAATATGTTATTTAAGAATATGAACGCCTAAAATTAGATATATCTCATCCTTTTTGACATTATCAATTCATGATAATGATAATAATTTATGAAGCGCATAATAAATTGAATTTTTGTCTTTGCGCTTTCCAATCATGACAAATTTTAATATATAAACAACCTCAATACAACAATAAATAACAAAGCAGATAAGCAATTGACAAAAAAATATTTATGGGAAGTTAACCAATGCACCTATAATTACATCGAAGTAACAACTATTTGACATTACATATAACAAATTCAACAAACAGATACCCTTTATGTCGAATCAACCTCCCAACCAGCAACGGACAAAGCAGCTCTAGGAGACCCTCGAAAACAAATAGGTTTCCAGGGCTCTCCCAAAGCCGTCAATGCTCTCAACAACTCGAAGCTGGTCAGGAAGTTGGATTCACTAGACAGGCGCTGCCGTTGAAATTAAGCCAGCGTAATGCCTAAAAATAATGTATTTAAAGTAACTTTGAATTGTGATGGTACAACGGTTACATTTTCCTCTTTTTCAAAACCCTGCAATCAGTTCTGAAGTACAAAGTGTACATCAGCAGAAAGTGTTTTAAAAAACGCTGGAAATTTGTAGTTCATTTATGTTGGAGTACATTGTTTCATTCATGAATAAGAGCACGTTATTTGGAAATAATTACTGAAATCTTTTAATTGGCAACGCGGAGTGCAATTTATGATCACTATTTTGGCGTAAAAATTGGCAAAATCTTATACATTATAATTCAATATTGTATCTTTATTTTATATTTGTTGCCTATTTAGAGGAGAAAAAGTTTAACCATTTAGACCTTTAGAAGACTCTGCATTGAACTATGGATTATATATACAACGTGCAAAGCTAATCTTGAGCTCTATAGTATGGGAATCGTATTTTGAGAGAAAGTTGCTATGATTTATTCTGGATTGATTATACTGCATAAGATTAGTTGTTTAAGGCAGCGAAATAACAGCATGCACACGAAAACTTACTGGGCATCATCTTCGCTAAAAACCACAACTCCTATTTGCACATAGTGATCTGTGTTAAGCACATTGTGTCGTGCCTACTTATCCAGATTTCCTTATTTTTCTATGCTCATTACTCAGCCACTTTACATTGTCTTCCAAATTTGGCACATGTCATATATTTATAATTTTGATGATTCAGTGTAAGTTTCGTTGAATTGTGTAAGAATTTGTTTTCTATATTTAACAGGACTCAAGTTTACCTTTAAAGCACATAAAATGATTATGTAATAAAAACGACACCATTCAAATCGATAGTTCTCTGCGCGAAAACTATCGCTGATAAACACATAAATTAACAATGATTAAACCTAGTAAATCAGTAAATAAACGGCATCAGAATAATTTACTTAAAATATTATCTTTATCACTATATGGAAAAGAAATGCGTCATCTATTTTTGGAACATGGGTTGACATATATCAAGTACATGGATGTAAGTTTTTTTTTTTTTAAATTGACAACAAATATCACGTATACTGTGTCAAAGTTGATAATGCATTAAATGCGAACGGGTTGAGTTAATCATTTTGCCCATTGTTGCATCATTGTGACGTCAGTTCTTTAAGCGTGTCTTCAGTGATGTAATCCTTCAAGCACTCAAGCGAATACTTCCACAGGAATTCTTGCTTGTCTTTGTCTCTAAGTAAGATGATCATAAAGAGAAAATTACATGCCATTAATTATATGCAAACGCCATGAATTGTAAATATGTGTAAGAATAATTGTGTACAGAAGGATTGCGGATGCACCATGCGAGAGAGAGAGGGTGGATTGAAGAGTCCTGAAAAGGACTCTCAGTAATCTTTCTTGAGGGTTTGTAGTCCTGAAAAGGACTGTTGGTGTAGTCTTGAAAATGACTGTTAGCTTATAGTTCTAATGAGAACTATAGCGCTTGAAGAGGATGGGTGGCGGGAGTGGCTCGACATTTCGAACAGGTTGACTATCCGTGTATCCGACTATCCGGTTTACTATTTGTAGCAATAAATATATACTTCTACATAAAAACACTAAAAAAACGAAATTCACAAATATTTACAAAAATGGACTCGAAATGATATTTGCGCTTTCTGTTAATCTACAATTTGCAATGAAGGGCATTCTGGATTTTAAAAAAAAATGTTAACAAAAAACTAAACGACGCTACCGCTATACCGCTATTGGTTAATAAACAAAAGTTGACTGTTCTGTAAAAAAAAAAAAAAGGATACAAAAAGGGTGAAAGCTACAAAATAGAACTCACGTGGCCGATGGATTCTTGAGACTGGTTGGTTTTGAATTTTCGAGATAGAGCGCAGTCTTACCATCGTACTGCGGGTTCACAGCCGCATGGATAGTCGTCAAGGCTCCGTGAAATGAGTTTCGTGCCAGCCCTGACCGTGCAGAAAAAAGAGGGATACAAATAGTAAACAAATTACCATGCTCTGAGAAGCTCTAGTTGGAATTATGGTTGACCACTCACTGAACAGGATTTCATTGATCAAAAATATAATAATCAATAAATGATAACAATATAAAACATTTATATAGCACCTAATACTTACGTTACTAATCGCTAGACTATCATTACCCCGGCATGAGGCGAGCCACCCTGATAAGGTGATTTGGCTTTCGAAGATTTAGAAATTTACCATCACCAGGGTTGAGAGTAGAAAATGTAGATAAAATGTCTTGCTACATGGCATTAGTGCCGCGGCGGGACTCGAACCGTGAATCATGTGATTGGCAGTCTAGTGACGTATCCACTAGGCTATGACATTTCTAACACAATGTCATATGGTGTTGTAGTCGGGTGGTTAAATAACATGACTGGAAATTAGTACCCCTGCACAGTCATGACGGCATTATGTAATTACTCAAAGCACTTTATCTGCATTGCTCCTCTCCACCCAGGTGCTTAATTGGTACCCTATAGGATGCAAACGTCAACTTGAATGTGATTTACAGTAGGTTTGCGGGTGCACCATGTGTGTGTGTGAGAGAGAGAGAGAGAGAGAGAGGGTTGAGGAGTCCTGAAAAAAGGACTCTGACTCGGTAATCTGTATTTGGGGTGTGTAGACCTGAAAAGGACTGTTGTTATCTTTCTTAGCATATAGTTCTAAGGAGAACTATAGCGCTTGGAGAGGATGAGTGACTCGACGTTTCGAACAGGTTGACTATCCGTCGTCAGGAGTGGAGAATAGGGACTTTTAGATTCACACGAAGACAATAGGTCTATGCTACGATCGACGTCCTTTTAATGCACTGCCTTGAATGGACGTCACACGTATCAGTCCACGCAAATCTAAAAGTCCCTAATAGGTAGCGTGCGTGAGCTTAAGTAACCGGGGTGCGGACGTCAGGACGTTGAATGTGATTGCTTTAGCATGACTTCTGTGTGCGCCCATACAGTGTATATGGCGCCTGATTGGAATGCTCCCTAGGGAGTGGAGAGTGTGGGCTGTAAAGTTCTGGATCGAAATTGATTTCATTGACCAGGGGAACTTCAACGATAATGCCTTTGGTCGGATATATTGTAACTGGTAAAGAACATTTTTTAAAGAAATATATTGTTATTTGGGCCCCATAACACGAAGCTTAGCAATTGATCGTACGATTGATTGCATTAATCACTCTGTGCAATCAAATGCAAAAATCAATCTTTCCATTCACAGCCAATCTTTGTGTTACGGGGGCCAGGTAAATATTTTCATTGTCGTCATATACAGTATAGAGGAATATGATATCTACGGTCGAAATATATTTTGTATTCCGGTCTATGTATTTTCTGCTAAACACTGATAAAGACAAAGCACTGGTGAACACGTTAATTCGAATTGATAACACCCACGAAAACCTTCATATGATCCGTAAGATTTTACACAAGGCCTAATAATAATTGGTATCGTGCACAAAGAATAGTCAACACCATTCTTTCTCTCTTTTGAAATGCAAATACACAATTAGTCCAATTAAGTACCTGTTTATCAACTATCCATACACACACTCACTGAATTATACTCACTCATCGAGCTAAGCATGCCCGCCAAAAACTTCATGGAACCAGATACCTGTTGGTTTTCCCTCTTCATAATATCTGTATCGACCACACCAGGATGCAGAGAAAAAACGCCGATTCCAGACCCTTCTAGCCTCTCCGCTAATGTAAACATCTCCATAATCTAGGTAGAACAAAAGAAAAATCATGATTTAACTCTTGAGAAGTGTTTTAAGCACTCGACTTGAAATACAAAGGTCGTGGGTTCGATCCCTGACACGGCATTAGTGTCCTTTGGCAAGGCATTAGTCTGCATGTGCCACTCCATACCCAGAAGAAAAATGGGGACGCCTGTAGGATGACGAAAGCCTTTGTGTTAGTAATTGACATATGCCCTTACGGTGACCATATGCATGTAGTAGTACTCCCCAGGGAATGGATATGGTGCACATTGTGTGTGAATGGATCCGATGAGAGGGGTAATAATATCTACAAAGGGGTAAAAACATTCATTAGTGCTGTGGCGGGACTCGAACCACGGACCTTGTGACCCACAGTCCGGTGACATATTCATTCGACCACGACATCTCTATGTTTGGTATAGGCCTTAAATATTCCAATGTCAATGTGGTTTTATTGAATCAGTTAAAGAATCCAGTGGTTATACTGGTCGGTTACATAGTAAGTGGTGAGACGTTATGTAGTAAATACATAATGTTATCATTATTGTTATTATCATCATTATTATTATCATAGTTATTTTAATAATTATTACTACTACCACTATTACTACTACTACTAATAATAATATTATTATGTCTTGTTTACCCAGGGTAGCCTCATCAGTATTCATACAGTTCTCCCTGAGGGCCCTGCAATCATATTAATACCCCGGTCATCGGATTCAGGCTTAGCCGAACACACAAAGTATGAACATTCTCCGCTCCCTGGGGAGCATTTCAGCCAGGCGTCATACTGTAATCATCGTCATAATCATCATCTTTATATTACATCATTTGTGCTGCTTGAAACGTTCTCCAAACAAACCTGATAGAGCTTGGTGCTTCCATATTTGGACATCGGGTGTTCGTTCATGAATTGCATATTTTCTTCGTGCCAGCTAACACCGCGATAAGAGATGGACGAAACCAATATGATCTTGGCATTGCCCCCGGACGCCTTTAACACCGGAAGTAAATGGAGAGTTAGAAGGAAGTGCGACAGGTAATTGACCTGGAAGTGTATCTCGAAACCGTCAGTTGTTTTGACTGTGTGAATTACAAGAACAAGGGAAACCACCTTATACAAAATTGAAGACTTGCACTAAAGATAAAGGTGAGTTTTTGTTTTGTTTTGTTTTAATTTAAAAAATTCTCACAGAATCAAACGAAACTTAAACTGAATGTTCAAGACTACAGATAAATGTCAATTACCAAACAATTTTGGTAGAAAATGTATACTGGCTGAGTAATGAGCATAGAAAGATTAGGAACTCAAGGTTAGTAGCCCCGACACCATCTGTGTAGTCCAATATACATCTTTCTGTTTACAGTGCTTGTTACTTTACTAAGACTGGGCCAAATTTATTATGAATATTGATGACTCCAGAACTTTGCAGTACACACCAATACTTACATGCTACATGGTCAACTTTTTTCTGATCCATTCCACACCTTTTCTTTCACAATGCAATCGGATGACCAGAACTCACCTTTGTCCTTAACAAAAATAGAAGCTTTTTCTGAATATGACCTCCAAAGTTTTTTTTTGACCGTGTACATATATATTATATAATAAAAATAATAAAAATCTGAATAAATTGAATTGAAACCGGTCATAGTGAAGAAGAGAACTCTCAAGGATTGTCATGTCAATTGTTTTAATTACTATTTATATGTATTTATGAATATATTACAATTTTGTATATACACACCTTATGGGAAAAACAGTGTAATTAAGATAAGCAGAAGGATTTACAAACTATATTTGCAACTTCATTTATAAACCAGTTGTAATCAAAATAATAACATATTATATTAATTGCAAGTTTATTCATGTACGATAATCTGTTGTATATTGCAATGACGAGTATTAAAGACCGTCAATACTACTGGGCCAGAAGGGATTAGACGACACAGCGAGGACACTGACAGGTGGCTATCTCATTAGCTCAGCTCTCAACTAAGATAAGAAAAAAAGGATCATGGGGGATCAACAGGCAGCGATTGGGGAAGGTTTCTATATAATAATAATAATATTTAATTTTTATATAGCGCTTAATACAAATGTCTCTAAGCGCTTTACAAATATACTATTACCCCGGTCATTGGATTCAGTGCTTGCCCGCACACGCTGTGTGCACAATCTCCACTCCCTGGGGAGCATTCCAGCCGGGCGTTACTTGACGCTCACAGGCTATTTGACCAACAATGACGGCCGCATCCTACTGGGTACCCATTTGACACCTGGATGGAGAGTAGCAAGTGCAGGTTAATATCTTGCCAAAGGATATTATAGAGGAAGCAACTAACTACAAGTAGGACAGTGGGGCTTTAACGTAACATGAACGATACAATAGGGTATTGAAATTGAAATGATTTCGCGAAAGTCTATGCGATCGTATATTACCTTCCCCTCCGTAGATAATTCCAGCGTTGCACACTAGGATGTGAAGCGGGAGCCCTTTGGCCTTGAACGCCTCTACGAAGCTCATCGTACTGGCGATCGACGAAAGGTCAAGGATCATGAACTCGACATCAAGGTCATCGGTCTGTTGAGAGAAAGGAAAGGCTAACTGTGACGTCATAACTATGACGTCATAACGATTCGAAAGTGACTGTGATCCGTTATGTGCTATGTAAACTATTTGCATGTTCCAATTTGCATTTCTCACGGGATAGTAATAACGGGGGAATTCAAGATTATATAAAGGTTTCAATTGTAAAATTAATCTGTGAAGGTGGTAGAAGGATTGTCATGTAGCTAAATGAAGACCGGAAATGGGTAGTATTGCACAAAGTAAACCTTCTGTCAATCGATACCTATTGTTTTGTGCAAACCGACACTTGGCAAACAAGCACCTGTGCTGATTGGCGCTGATGGCAAAGGAAAGGTTGAGTGCTTACACAAATGGCTATACTATAAAACCATGGGGACGGGTTTATATCAACATCAGGTTCGAGACGATCTGGAATTTTGAAAAAAAAGGCAGAGAAGTTTTTTTTTTCATAGGTGTGTCTTTAAACTAGAAGTACATTTACATCACTAATCAACACTCTTATTTTAAAGAAAAAATGGATCTGACAAAGAAACGAAAGAAAACAAATGAAATTGTAAAAAAGGGAGGTATATATTCGTCCTTGTTTTCACGAAGTGACGGTAGTGAGGAAAATCGTAACGCAAAGTGAATTCAATTTTTTTTCACTACCGTCACTTCGTAAAAACAGCGCCGTATTGTTTACATGATTATATGGTGAAGTAGTAATTGTAAGGGGTGTGTTCCTCCTGAACAAAATACCTCCCTCCTCATCGATCAACAATATAGATTATACTTTGATAGACAGGTGTGTTATATTTATTACGTCCATGGGTGGTTTTAGTTACCTTGATCTTGACCTTTGACTCTTTGTCGTCAGATTTCTCTTCGCTGTGCTCCTTTTTCATTCGCTCTATGGCCTAGGAGAAACAAGGAAATCTGAAAATTAGTTCATTCTTCAAAAACATCTAAAGGAAATTAAACTATGTTCCATGAGGAACTGTAGAGGTGCTGTGGTCTAGTGGATAAGTCACAAGGAAATCTGAAAATTAGTTCATTCTTCAAAAACATCTAAAAGAAATTAAACTATGTTCCAAGAGGAACTGTAGAGGTGCTGTGGTCTAGTGGATAAGTCACAAGGAAATCTGAAAATTAGTTAATTTTTCAAAAACATCTAAAAGAAATTAAACTATGTTCCAAGAGGAACTATAGAGGTGCTGTGGTCTAGTGGATAAGTCACAAGGAAATCTGAAAATTAGTTCATTCTTCAAAAACATCTAAAAGAAAATAAACTATGTTCCATGAGGAACTGTAGAGGTGCTGTTGTCTAGTGGATAAGTCACAAGGAAATCTGAAAATTAGTTCATTCTTCAAAAACATCTAAAAGAAATTATACTATGTTCCATGAGGAACTGTATAGGTGCTGTGGTCTAGTGGATAAGTCACCTAACTGCAATCACAAGGTACGGGATGCGAATCCCAGCCCGGCACTAGCGTCCTCTGGCAAAAAAATTAATCTACATTATTTTGCCACTCTCCACCCAGGTGTTAAATGGGTACCGGTAGGACGCGAAAGTTAATGTAGTCTGCTCAGTATTGTGAGCGTCTGTAAAATGATGCCTGGTTGGAATACTCCCCAGGAAGTGGATAATGGCAGAATAGTAATTTAATCCAGTAACAGGGGTTAATATTAATGGTGTTAACGCTTTGGTAAGTTGATGGATATTAAGCAGCAGATATCACTTGTTAAAGGTACGATGTCCCATTTGCAGGCCAACAAAATGAAAAGGTTAAATTCCAACGGCATTTGAAAGATGATACTAATTTACAACTTCCCTAAAAAAGGTTGGGCTTGAAAATGTCTTCAAGTGGGAAAATAACGACTATTAGTTGTCAAATCGACTTAGGAGCTATAGAGCCAATAAGTAATAGTCTTGATTTTCAGACCATCGTACCAAATGGTCATGCGTTTTATGCGGCGCAAAGATTCAATCAGTTTAATTTTGGCCATCACAAGAGTGGGTAATTGATGTAGACAAATGCTCATGTACCCTTTACAGCTCATTTTATGTATGTTATTACCAAAGAAGAAAAAAAGCCAATCAGTCACTCAATAGTGTCTGACAGTGAAGTCTAGCAAGTAAACGGGTTTCCTTGCATAATTTGAATATTCGGACACTGCTAACGTTCAAATTTCACAGAAAGGACATACATGACATATCTATAATTCCTGCACAGTTCTACAGAATTTGAGGTTGGCTGCAAAAGGGACATAGTACCTTTAAGGCTCCATTTACTCGTACACACGCACGTGCACACCCTCACGCACATCCCCCACCCTCGCACATGTTCTTCTGAAATAGATATCATTATTTGCATGAACTTACGTAATGAGATTAAACTCACTTCATTTGCCTTGGCTTCGGAGCGACAAGCCACAATGACCTTTGCCCCCAGCTGGGCTAATGTTTTTGCCGTCTCATATCCGATTCCTGATAAAAAAATTAAATGACAATAGAGGGGACAAGGGTTGAATGATGTAAGTTTTGCAATGATAATTTCCTGTACGTGACAAAATGATGTAAATCCGAACAAACTATTAAAAAAAGATTTCGAGCGAATACATGTCAATTCATGGAAGAAAAAAAAGCAGTAAGGGGCTTTAAGAAAAATTTAGGAACTACCATCAAAATCATGACTCTCTCATCTTTTTGTCCGATTTTGTTTTGTTTATAAAGTAGTTTGCTATCAAAGTTAGTTTTTCCTTTACATACTTATGAAGCCTTAGTGCATCTATCCCAATGATAATTGACACACGCCAGGGAGATTATTTATGTGGCATATAAATAGTAAAGTGCGAATCACATACCTGTGTTTGCCCCAGTAACAATCACGGTCTTCTGAGTTAGATCGACATCCGGAACAGGTTTTTGTGACGTAAGACTAGTACCCATCGTATAGCCCCACGCGTTTAAAATGGAGAACGGAGATGTTTTACTGTATATACACGATGATTTACTGACTTGAATCTGATTTTATTCCCGTATCGATGTCTATTCAGTCAAGGAATTAATATGGGCAGAATATATCATTTGGGAAAGGCATGCAGGCGCATATCCACTAAGCATATACCATAGAATGTAATGCTGAAATTAAAAAGAGCGAAATACACGGTAGGACCACAGCATAAATGCTATGCTTGTGTCGGCTCCGAAGTATTATGTTACCCTAGCGGAAATGTAAATGATCAGCACAAAGTACATGGACTTTGCACAATAGATTACAGATTAACTCTGAAAAGATATTCCGGAGTTTGTGCATTCCAATTCTTTTCAAACATGAATTTAAGGGTTTGGGATCGCTCTTAATTGTTGAGAAGGCAGCGGCGCGTCGCATACTGTTATAATATTTCCAGAAGCATAATACAGTCGTACTCTATAACGCAGAAGCACTATAGGGTGCGAGTACGTATTAAAGTCCTTTCTACAATGTGGCCATGTGTTGTAGCCAAATGCACTGGTGCCCCCCCCCCCCCCCCCCCCATCTTCTTTCACGCATATTTCGTTCCATGAGTGTTGTAAGTTAACTGTATTTCTTCTGATACGCTTCAACTGATAATTATGCCAAGCAGATTAAAACAGAAGATCGGGACAAATGAGTACATTGATTGTTATTACAAAGTAACTACGCCCTAGGACCTCTACCCCAATTATTAGCACCGATGTCTCCTTAGTTTCTCTTTAACATGAATGTACCGCATTTTGCCAAAAAAATCATAAGGATAATGATGTGTATATAATGTAGGGGCTCCGACACAACGCCCCCGCCTGGGGCTCCTACTGTGATATCGTTCTGTAGGTCCTACATAATCCCTATACCAAAAGAGCCGGTTGTATAACAACAATCCATGTGACTTTACCTTATATATCATTCGGGGGCTCCGGGACAATGCCCCGCTTCCACACACTTATATCATACATTTGCGGGGGCTCCTACCTTTATATCGTTCAGTAGGTCCTAAGAGAGACCTGTACCAAAACAAGCGGTCGTATCACCACAAACCAATTTGATCTTACATTATATATAACATCGCCGCGCCCCCGATCACACATTATGCAGGGGGCTCCTTCTCTAACATCGTTCAGCAGTGCCTAAGGAATACTTGTACCAAAAATGGCGTTTTTACAACAAAAAATCAAACTTATTTTACCGTATTTTTAATTTGGGGGCTCCAGTACGACGCCCCGCGCCCAATTCACAAATATATGTTTTTTTTTTTTTTTTTTTTTTTTTTTTTGGGGGGGGGGGGGGCTCCAATCCTATCGTCGTTCAATAGATCCTAAGGAAGCCCTGTACCAAGCTTTGCATTTTTACAACAACAAATAAATGATATATTACCTTATACATTATATGGGGGCCCCGGGAAGACGCCTCAAACCCCGCACATTTATATAATTTTCTTTTGCCGGGGGCTCCTACAATGTCGTTCAGTAGGTCCTAAGGAAGCCATGTACCAAAAATGGCGCCTTTATCATGCATGTAACGATAATTTCACTAAGCCACCTGACTACAATGGTGTGTGGCTGTCTCGTCAAAACGCACTATGGCTATGCGAAAAGTTTATTCTGAGGTTGTTGCTGTGATCACCATGACATTAGATTTTTAATGATTAAAGATAAACTTGAGTTCTGGTTTTAAAAAAATGAATTCTCACAGAATCAAACGAAACTTATACTGAATGTTCAAGATTACAAGTCATTTGCCAAACAATTTTGGTATAAAATGTATACTGACTGAGTAATGAGCATAGAAAGGTGAAGAAATCAAGGTAGGTAGCCCCGACGCGCATTTTTTTTTTACACAACTGTTTAGCCAGTTCAGTCAAATATACTGTGCAAACGACTAGATACAGAGTCTAACATTACCCTTACCCTTATCAGTATTTTTGGATTGATGGAGCTGTATTCGGTAATGTCTTTGTTTCTCGTTAAATCTATCCTCTTCTCTTTCGTCATGTAGGCCTTTTTCTTTGTTTTTCCTTCAATCTATCATTTTCTCCTTCGTCATATATTTTTTTTCGTTTTTTCCTTCAATATATCCTTTTCTCCTTCGTTATATATTTCTTTGTTTTTCGTTCAATCTATCCTTCAGTGTTCTCCTTCGTTATATATATTTCTTTTGTTCTCCCATATTCTATCCTCTTCTCTTTCCTTATGTATTTCCTTGATTTTCCTTCTCCATATCCTCTCCACTATCCTTGTTTTACTTTTATATAATCTTCCCTTCCCTGGGTGTAGTGCGCTGACGACTTAGACTCTTTCACCAGAGCACTTCTAGAAATGGCGTGTAGGCCCCTACCACTTTGGACAAGAATTGGATGAATATTGCCTAGATTTTGGGGGCTGTATCTTTTGATAGAAACATCGTTGAGCGTTGAAATGTGTTCTTCTGAGTAGTTAATTTTTTTAATTATCTAACCATGATGATGAAAAACAATCCTAAACGGAAAACTGAAAAAATCGTTCAGACACCTTACTATTATAATATTTCCAGAAGCATAATATACGTACTCTATAACGCAGAAGCACTGTAGGTTGCGTAAAAACGCATTTGTCGCATAGTGTATTCGACAAGCATGTGATGTGGTGATTCTCAGAGACATGTAATTACAATGGCATGTGAGCATGCTGTCCGAGCTATTGTGTTGTCTCGTCTTGATTATGCCAATTCATTATTGTATGGGTCTATGGGATCAAGTCATCACGAATACAGCGTCTCCAGAAGATTCAGAATCGCGGAGCAAAGCTGATCTACTTGGCCCGTAAGCACGATCATGTCACCCCGTTGCTTAAAGAACTACATTGGCTTCCAATCAAGCAACGCATTGAGTTCAAGATCTTGACGGTTATCTATAAGTGCATTCAAAACAAAGCTCCAGTAGTGTATCTCAATTCTCTCATCGTACCCTACCAATCTGCTCGTCCTGGCCTTCGCTCGTGACAGCACCGTGCTACACGTTCCTCGAACATACACCAAAGCTGGCGACAATGCTTTCCATGCATGTGCTCCTCGACTCTGGAATGAGCTTCCACGTTTTATTCAATTATCACCTTTGCTGGATGTCTTCCGAAAATGTCTCAAAACTCTCCTCTTTGACCATGATTAACAATAGATTCTTTGATAACTTTTATGTTTAGCGCTGTGAAACAACAGTTAGTTTGTAAGAGCGCTATAGAAATGACTTTATTGTATTGTATTGTAATGGAGCTACATTTTAATAACTAACTACGGATTTTAAATAACTAACCACGAGAAGTTTATTTTGACCATGTCGGCAATCCAATACACAAATTCGGCTTATATTATACATTACTTGTGTATGCATTTACAATATCTAGTCTCCAGACCTACTGTTGTCAATAAAAAGAAGTAGCATATAAGCACACACTATCCGGTGGATTGATTTCGCATAGTCTTGTCAAGATCGGATGTATGGGGTGAATAATAACATACATTTCAGAAAAATAAGATTAAAGATGTTATTTTGGTTACCAAGGCCTCGTCTTATAGGCTTTTAAACATTTGGAATTAATCGCAACTTATTTAGAATTAATATGGATCGCAATGATGGAGATCAGAAAGAGGGGACTACCAACTTGCAATTGATCAGAGGACTTACACTTCATTATTGATTCGGATCAATCGCTATAAGACAAAGCCCTGGATTAAATGCTTTGTTACTATATTCCTGTCCTTCTACCGAGTTAGGGTATGTACTTGGCTTATGACTGAGCTATGAATCCAAGCAATTGTGTGTTTTATGAAGAAGGAGAAACTTGATTACTTGATGATCAATGATCATTGGAGCAGAGCCTGTTAATCTCTTTTTTTTTCTAATATCACACCCAGGCGCGTACACAGGGGGTTTGGGGGGTTTGGGAGCTTAAACCACCCCCCCCCCCCTTTGGTAATTTTTTGTGTGTAAACCCCCCCCCCCCTAAATTTCTCTAACCCCCCCCCCCCTTTTTGGATTTTTTTTCTTTTCTTTTTTATTAAAAAAAAAAAAAATATTCCCATGGTTGACCTAAAAAAAGCTGACCTTGCCCCCCCCCCCCCCCCCCGCTTATTCAGCGGCTGGCTGAGTCGTTGCGAACTTTTCGGCCCGATTTATAAATGTTAAACCCCCCCCCCCCCCCCCCCCTTGAAAAAATCCTGCGTACGCGCCTGATCACACCCTTTAGATATAGCCTGGAATCCTTCTTAAAACGATGAAAAACGTCATATCACCATTACCCTTAAAACGATGATGTTTAGCGTTTTCTAGTCGCATGCTATGTCGCCTTCGTGTACTTGTAAACAAAGAGACCAGGTTGAATCCCGAGCCCGCCCCCTCCACGTGTCACGTTTACAAATCTTAGGGTTAGGGTTAGGGTTAGGGTGAACTGCAGATATCAGAGTAGACTCGATCGTTCCTTGCGTCTAAAGACGATGAATATCATCGTCTTCAGGGCAATGTTGATATGATGTATTTCATCGTTTTAGGAAGGAGACCAGGTTTTTAAGATAACATGAACAAATAATGATAAAGGAAACTGATCAGAAAACGAAGCCCAAAAGACTCCTCATGTTCCATCTATGTTCCTCTCTTCATCTTATCTTTTAGTGATCTACCAAAGATTATGATTTGTTTGTATAATGTTTGCGTTTTATTTTTTGTGGTTGCTTTGTTAGTTGTTGTTTTTTTGGTAGGGAGTGTATTTGTTGTATGTCATCATAAAATAAGTATGCCGAGGTTAACCGCGTGTACCCGTATAAATATGTCTGAATAAATAAATAAATAAATAATAGCTGGACGAGGCTTACTATACGATCCTAATTAATTGCCTGTGAACAATCATACGTATGCTATCAGTGAGTAATTCAGTGTACGTTCTCAAAGTCTAATGATATATTCAATACAAAATATGTTATACTTTATGTAACTGTCTAGGTTTGTAGGTGGCCTCGAAGAAATAATGAAAAGCTCGGTTCGATAGAATGGATCCGTAACATAGGACCAAGAGGGCAGGGCGCTTCACGAAACTTGTCATGAGGACCCTGAAGAACCAATGATATCTTATAAACATCCAACGAGGTGGCATAATTATGATTCATCAGTTCTTTTAAAGGCCCACTGCACTACTTGT